CGATACAGAGCGCGGACGAAGCGTGGACGGAAGACTTTATCGAGCACGGCGGACTGACGGCCATTCTCGACTGCCTCTCCGTACTGGGAGAGACAGATGTGGACAGTCTGAGCGACGCCCTCCCGCGGCTGGAGGTCGTATCGTGTCTCAAAGCCGTTCTCAACTGCCGGTACGGCTGGAGTGCGTCATACGCCGCGGGGGCAAGGAAGGAAGTATGGTAGGAAAGATTGCTCTAGGTGAGGGGAGAGGATACGTGGGCGTAATCTATCGTAACACATCCGCAGCAATAGCATGCACGGTTTCCTAGGCATAAAAACATGCGTCATGCGTGCTTGTGCGAAATATTGTTTCAGAAAAAAGTTCCACATACTAAAGGACCACACCCTAGAAGCATTGTTGATTCTCTAAGTCTCTCGTGATTGTATGAATTGGCCCTCAATTGCCGGTCTTACTGCTTTTCACACCACATATTAGTGCAGTACTTAGTACCACAGTGACTAACTGTGCCTAGCCAAGTATAATTATGCCTATGGTGCCTCATGGGAATAGAGTAATTTACTGATGCATATTGCTTGCATGTGGACGAGGGCTGGGGTCAGGTAAATGCAGGCAAAGCTTCTATGAAAGTCTTACTACATTTAAACCTAGCTCTTACTCTCGTTATGCGTGTGGAATTATTTGGTTTTACCCGTTGCTCTGGGTGTGCGGTCTATGGCTCTGGCGCTGACGTCTACGTATTATTAACCCTCGGCGCGCATGCGCAGCGAGGGTTACGGTAGTTGTCCCGTAAGTGTCTGTCTGTCTGTCAGTTAGTCTGTCTGTTACCACGTTTTTCTGCCACCGCGCGCACGAAATCATGGTAAATAGCGATATGATCGGGTTCAGTGCTACACTGGGTTGATTTTAAAAAAGGCGATTTTCGTAAAACTACTGCGTTCTAAAGTTATGGCGTGAAAACCAAGTGAACAAGCCAATATGTAAATTAGCACAGGCTTACCTCGACCGCGTCCGTTCGCTCTGTGTGTCTTGAAGGCACAACAAGTCACAACGAAGGGCATGTATCGACTCCCGCATGCTATTTACTACTGTAGCTAGCCCGTGCCAGACTCTCCGCGAGCTACTAGCGGGATACCACGAGTAAAGGCATAAAAAGCCCAGCCCATCAATTAGTGGTACCGCACATGCGCAGTTCGCCGTGGGTTTGCACTTTAGTGCTTTTCATTCTGTCTGTTACCACGTTTTCTACCACCGCGCGCACGAAATCAGGTAAATAGCGATATGATCGGGTTCGGTGCTACACTGGGTTGATTTTAAAAAAGGCGATTTTCGTAAAACTACTGCGTTCTAAAGTTATGGCGGGAAAACCAAGTGAACAAGCCAATATGGTAATTAGCACAGGCTTACCTCGACTGCGTCCGCGCGCTCTGTGTATCTTGAAGGCACAAGAAGTCACAACGAAGGGCATGTATCGACTCCCGCATGCAATCTACTACTGTAGCTAGCCGGTGCCAGACTCTCCGCGAGCTACTAGCGCGATACAACGAGTAAAGAAAAGAAAAGCCCAGCCCATCAATTAGTGGTACCGCGCATGCGCAGTTCGCCGAGGGTTTGCACTTTAGTGCTTTTTATTAACACAAGTAGTGCATCATTCGGCCCCAATGAGTTGATGTATATACACAAAGATCATACAATGGTCTCTGTTAAGATACACACCCTCTTTTCTCCTGTCTCTCTCCCCACGCACCCTCAATACAGACACATACTGCTAAAGATTCAGATATTCCTTGTCCTCTCTGATATATCAAGCACTGTCAGAGGGTCTGGATGCCACTCTGGAGCGCATGGATTACTACAGGTTTGTTGAACTCACCACTACCATTACTGCCAATCAGATCGAGTCCTATATAAATCGAGCCTCTGAATTATGACCTGCGACCCTGTACTATTTGCACGCCCTGTGAAAGATTTTAGCATTATAGCCAAATTCCAAATATGCAGTGAGAATCAGCACTACTCCGCTTATTTATAAGGCTCCACAAAGCCACAAAGATTTGGAAGGTCGCTCAAAACACCTCCAAAAGTGCAACGGGTTAAGTTGTGTGTGATCAACAACAAGTTTCAAAAGGCAGTGGCCAAGGCAACAGCACTGATACACCCAGGACAACTCCTGTATTCCACCGAAACGATGCCCTAGCCGCACTGGGTGAGATTCAAACCCACACACACTCAATCTGCTCTCTAGCAAAAGACTATATATTCCTAGCTAAGCCACCATTGAATGAGGTTAGCAGCAGGGATTAGCAGTATTATACAAAGTATATAGAATCACATTGCATGGTGCATAAGTAACCAGTAATAATTACTTGCTTTTTGTGTAACTTTTGTGGAAGGTGCCTGGTTCTGCGGCAGTTAGACTATAGCTTATATATTTCACCTCATTGTGGTGCTGTAATTTATATACAGCTCACTGACATTTGAGCTGATTGGTGTGGTAATCGAGGAGCTGGCTGCAATCACTGGCGTTCTTGTAGTGTAATCAGTCTCACTGTTGCCTATTGTGGAGGGCAGGGCAAAGAATTTAGTATAGTTAGGGGGAAAGCTACAGTTTAACACATGAAGTATGCGTACACACACAGACCAAGGAGAGAACAGAATACACATACTGCTGTTAGGATTTGAGAGACCAAGACTCAGTCACATATGCACTGATCTACACCCCCAGGACAAATGTTGATCTTCCCTCTTTCCTTCTCTCCATATATACAGGTTGTCGGTAACACACACATCCAATTGAATGCTACTATGCGTACACACACAGACCAAAGAGAGAACAGAATACACATACGTGTTTGAGCTTCACTGAATCTTACTCTTCGTGAGCCTCTGTTAGTATTGTTTGCTAGCTATATGTACAATGTACGTAGATAAAATTAAGTAGTTCCTTGGAGAACTTTATAAAAACAAGAGTTTTACTATACTCCCCTGCAACAATATTTCTTTACTATGTATGTAAGTGTGTAACAATGGGTATCTTTCTCTCATTGTGATGTACGTCAATTCTGCATGCATGCGTGATACGTAGTACTTATTTTCATTCTTACAGCTCTTGATTTTTCAGACATACTTGGAATAATGAGGTATGTGCTATATACAATTTCTGATAATGTTTACAAGTAGCCACGTGAACTGTAAAGATCACTCACTCACATTGTTTACATGAACTCCAGGGGACCATCAAAAAATTTTCATTATTAGAAGGAATTTCCCTATACACGTCGCTAGTTTGTATAATGCCTGGGGATTTAAAGTGGTCGTATTAGCAGATGTTTCGATTTAACAGTGTTGGTATTAAGAGATTCCACTGTATGTAAATTGTTGCTATAGGCACAGCCTGAGCTACATAGCCTGAGGTCAATATTGTGGTATGCACTGGAACTAAGGCTGAGTATTGAATGTCACATTTGGGAACAGAACTGTGGGGCATTTCTGATGACGTATGTACTTGTGTGTGACAGGTACACTGACAGCGCAGCGCTGCTCCAGGCAGGTCCAGTTGTACGAGAGGGGACTAATGAGAGATAGGGAGGAGTGCAAGCCATGCCTGGTGGGTGGACATAACTGATCATCAGCAGGGTTCTGTCTCTGCCCTCTTGACAAAGGTCTCACTCCACATGCTATATGCTGTGATGTCACTGATATCAGTGCGTAACTAAAGATTTCATCACAGCCAAACAACCGTTGTGCATTTTATACCAAGACTGAACATCCGTATGATGCTATGCCAAATTAAAACTACAGAATATTACTGTTTAATAAACGTGTTAATGAAACTTACGACATGCGTACAAAATGGCACGGTTTTAATTTACACCAGAATAATGCCACGCTTTCAGTTAGAGAATCTCTTTACTTCAGTCTTTTACTTGCACGTTTAAAGTACCAATTTTTAACTGTGTCCATAGTTGATGATCAGAACATAGCTGTAGTTCATCAGTTTGTAACTGTAGTGCATCAGTATGTAACTGTACTGCATCAGTATGTAACTGTAGTGCATCAGTATGTAACTCTAGTGCATCATGTCCGTAGCTATTGAGTTGTTGAAGGTTTTAACAGTGTCCATAGTTGATCAGAACATAGCTGTACTGCATCAGTATGTAACTGTAGTGCATCAGAATTACTCGAAGTGCAAGATGAAGAAGAGTCTGTTTATTGCTTTGCTATCGCTGTGGTGGTCCGCAGCGAGCGTACAAGTGACATACTTTCCTACCACTCCTGAAGAGGAGCAGCTAGAGGAAGACTGTCGGAAGAGCCTGCCTGAGCAGGAGAAATACGAAGTCGCACTCATCGAGCATTTCTTTGCCGACGTCGAGAAAACGAACGCGCCCAACGCTAACCCATTCGTGGAAGATTGCTCAACCATCGCAGTCAGCAATTCCTCGGATTACGGGGTGAGGGAGATCTTGCAATTAGTGGACGGGCCGAGGGCAGGACTGTGCAGCGACGTTCTATTCCTCGCCGGTGGCGAGAACCCCGTCGTTTGCGACTACGAACGCAAGTTCGCCAGGGGCATTACAACCTACAAGCCCACCACGGCGGAGCAGAAGGATGTGGAGGCCGCATGCATGGAAAACTTGAAGGGACCTAACGGTACTCGTACTGCACTGGTGTTGTATGAAGCGAACCCCAAGGGAGAATTTCCAGGTTACGCTCTGTACAATACACTTCTCCCGGACGACGGGAACCCGTATAACCGAGAAGAATGCAGGTCGTTGTTCGAGCCCCAAGAAAAGGCAAACGAAAGCAGAACATTCATATTTATCATTCAGTCCGGCACTTGCCACGACGTCTTGTACTACGAGGATGGGGAAAATCCAGTGGTTTGCCTTTATATCTTACCAGACAATACTACCACCAGGCACGTTGCGGCTAAAGCCCCTGCTATTGTTGTTCTCGCCTTCACCTCCCTCTCTGTCATTGCTAGTGCTGCATTGCTTGTGACCTGAAAACTCTGAAATAGATTGTGTACAGATTGTGCTTAAAAATGTGTATATAATATGCGAGGATTGGATTGTGTATTATACTGAAGATTGTTTGGAGTGCATTGTTAGTTCTTGTCCATGTCCCTCTCAATTGCCTCGGCCATTTTGTGCAGAAGTTTCGCAACTTCATCGAGGCTTCCATCAAATATGGTGCGGGGTTCTGGGCATGAGGGGTTCCGGTTAAAATCAGGCCCCCAGCCTGCCCCCCTGCGGTAAACGGGCGGAGAATGACCTTTGTACTCGTTCCACGATGATTGACGAGAGAGGGGGGAGAGAGATGCGTGCCCGATGGAGCTGACGCTGTGTCGTTTGTATCGAGACGGCAGGGGCGGCCCGCGAAGAGAGGACTTATGATGTGCAGTGGCATGGGATGAAGAACGATTCTTGCCAGGCTGTATATAAGAGAACAGTCTGACTTCAAAGAGTCTGACTTCAAAGAAAAGAAATACAAGGCTGGGAGCTACATATTTTCTGCACCATGTGTGTTTACTATTGGAAAATAGGCTGTCATTTTTCTTTAAAACCCTTTGGACGCCATGCGTATCTCCAAGCAGAAATTGATGTATAACATATTAACGGCTAGTATTATACCCATATATAAGTTCGTATGGACTTATGGAGGCTCTGGGCATATTACGCCGGTGGCTGGCTAAGGGTTAATACTTTTCGCACTGTCAACAAAAGTAGCTAACCTTTAGTTGTGTTCTTGAAGACCTCTCATCCTCTCCTCCCCTCTCCTCACCGTTTTCAACATCTGTCACAACGATGTCAGTTGGTGGCGCCACCATGATTATAGGGGGCGACCCACCATCATCCTTCACAAACCCGTTGACGGAATACAAACGGGTTAGTCAGGTCACTCCCGATGACGATAAAGCCAGTGGAGAAATGCTCGGTCGTGCAATGAGCCGCGTTCTTTCTCTGAAATCGGGGGGAGGTCCAATACGTGTGTGGTGGACAGTGATGTAGCTCGTGATAGCCCTGGACGAGATAATGTGTGACTTGGGGGAAGGGGAGGGGGAAGAGTGAGGAGGGTTGCCGTGGGAAACGGGGCCAACAGGGGTCAAAACAATCGGATTTTCTTGCAGAGTCTCCTATATAGAGATATGGAATAATCAGCTAGTGTTAGGTTTACAGTTTGACTCAATTTTATATGGGTGCAAATTCTTGCTGCATAGAAACAAGAAAACTTCTTCCAACATGGAGAAGACAAAACACAAAACAAAAAGGTACACTGCAACTTCCGTTTTTAAATCTTGTTAAAGTGGTGCACTGGCAGATCTTTCTGACCTTGACTGTTTTGCCAAACTCCTCGGAGAAGTTTCTGATCTCCAGAAACACTTCCTCCAGGAAATTGTCTCTGTCATCGCAGAAATAGCGAGCCAACTCCTTTCCCTTCCTCTTGACTGAATCCAAGTCTCTCAGTAGAGAGGAGAGTATGGAGTTAGCTTCCTGAGAAGAGGGGAGGGGAGAAAATATTGAGAACCAAAGAGTGTATTATATTGGATCCTCTCTAGACTAATCTAGACACCAATGGGGTAGAAGAAAATGTCGTAGGGAGTCCTTACTTCAGGGATAAAATTACATGCAAGAAACTTTTCTTAGAAAAGTTGTTGTTATCAGAAATATTACCCTCATTATAGGGATGCCATTAGAGACAGAATATCTTGGTACGTATGAAAGAAAGATAAGTGCAAAGCAAGAATTTTACAGAGTTTGTACACCATTGTATGTGGCAAACTCAGCAAGAAAACTCCTGAAGGTACATACATATGGAAGTATGAACAGAGAAAAAAGTCAGATCTATTGTTGAAGTGCTCACTAAAATATCCACACTCGACTGAAACAACTCACTGGAAGAAATGTCTCCAGCTGAGAAATGAAATCCTTCCCAACTGGAGCTCTCCCGACTGCGACTTACATCTCCTCCAGCTCGTCCACCTCCTTCCTCCATCCTCCCAGTTCCTCTGCCACTGCCTCCACTGACACTCTGGGACACACAGAGAGATATGGAGACTATACTCTTGCCTTTTCTCCTCCACTTTCTTCACTGACATTGTCATTTTATCCTTATTCTTTCCCCTCCCCCTCCTTTATTCTGCTATCCTTTTATTGTTACCGTCTCTCCTTTTTTCTCCTTTCCTATTTTCTCCATTTCCTTCCCACCTTTTCTACATGTCCTCTCTATCTCAATCTCCTTTAACTGTCCATTCTTGTCTCACCTGCTGGCGTCGTCAAGATGTGGCAGCTCAGTGTGGAACTTCAGCAGTCTGGGACAGTCTCTCTCACACACCTACATGCAGCATACAGAACCTCATGTCAACAATGAATATACTACTCTCCATCATCAATTTTTGCTGCAAGAACATTCTGTTGCTAAAGTGACACCAAGGTTTTCAGCTATTTGCACGTTATGTGATTGCGATGAGCATTTTCCCAGGCAATTTACAGTCTACACACAGAAGTTTTATAGCTCCTGGTTTCACTATGGGAGTTTGTGGTGTGTTTTGAGGTTGTTTCACTTACTTGAATGTAACTGCATAATATAAGTTTATATAGGGGAGTGTGATTACAGAGATACAGTAGCTTCTGTGGTACTCTGTAAACTGACAGATGTTGAAAATTTATTGCGCTGAAATAGAAATACGGTACGCTATCACAACAAAGCATATCATAGATGGCTATGATAAGGGTTTGTCTGCACATAGTGATTTAGTTCTATATAACTTCAGCAGTCTGGGAGAGTCTCTCTCACACACCTGAAAGAAGAAGCAAAGCAAGCCAGCATGTGGTAAGCACTGTTTATATCTTTTCAGTGTCCTGGTTTCACTGTCTTTCTTCAAAACCCTTACGTAGGACACAGTCTACTATGTTACACAAATGCACGGGAAATTTCAAATTTCAACTTTTTTCCTCTGAAATGGAGTTAGCTATATATACGGCAGCTATCAAAACTAAAAGCTTATCATTCACGTGGCCACTTTTTCTAATAGCCACCATTGTCCCAAATCCCTGGATTAGCCCTTCACTCAGTAGTTCTTCAGAAGCGGCTGTTCGTAGCAAGTCATGGATGGCTGTTCCAGTGAGTTACTGTACATAATACTAAGCCTGTCATCATCTTGAACCCTATAGTCTCAATTGGTGGGATTTGTTTTTTTGGAGGATACATTTGCATCAAAGAATTGACAGCTACGGGGTTCCCTGCTGCCATTATTGCAGCAGCAATATTTGCTGTAATTATTGTGTCTCTCTATACACAAATATTTAAGAAAGGAAAGGAAGACTAACATCTATGTATACTGCTCGTACGTAGTTGAGACTGGTTTCTAATGTAGTTATTAATAGCTTGTGTGTTAAAAGCCCATCCGTAAAAGAAGCATAATAACATTATAAAGTACTCACGGTGACGAGAAAGTGGAGGAAGTTGACGTTGAGGGAGAGTTCTCCTGACGTTGGCCAGAGTATTGCTGAGTCTCTGGAGAGAGCTGATTCTGAACCCATACGCCGAGCCCAGCTTCGTGCTCTGCGGTGTAGTATGGGAATGAAACCTGTTTATGCGACTTTAGCCTTCAGTAGGGCAAGGGAAAAAACATTCAGAAAAGTTTAGGGGTGTTTTTCTGAGAAGAATGGCAGGGATGATAATGATTGTTCAGTGCGGTTTCTCTGCCTATTTCTCCCTCCTTTTGCTAACAACGTTACGCATAATATCAGTCTTACTCCATTGATAAAGTTTCCAGTGAGAAGAATGATGTGAAGCAGTTCTTTCAGTGATCTTGACATCATCAGCTCTTTAGAGGTAAGATAATAGGGAGGAGGGAGAGAGGGATAGAGTGAGGAAGATATTAGAAAGGACACCTTTTGCCAAACATCTTTATTTAGACGTGACCCTTATTCGGACTAGAGTGGGCATTATATGAGAGCTGTCCTCTATTTAGAGGGTCCTTATTAGGTGAGTCACCTTTCGTGGCCACATGAAGGAGTTCAAAGGTCGGTCTGTAGTCAGTCTCCAGATCTTCAAAGATTTTTTTCGTCCTCAGTACCCTGAGTCTGGGGGTGTGGTCTGGGGTTGCTAGGAGACCAACCATAAACTGCTCGACTCTGCCTATCTTTGTCTGACTTGACTTGTCGTCCATGTATGGCTCCAGAAAACTTGCCTGAAAGAATTGGAGAGAAATTATGTGGGAAAGTGTAGTGATCATTTGAAGCCTAATATCTGAATATCGATGTACGTGAATGCGTGTTTTAATTCACATGCTCTATGCAGATTAACCCAATAAAGTTCGTGTTTATACAGCCAACACTGATGTTGGTGTTTATTTAGCCAGACGCTGATGTTCATGTTTATACAGCCGACTAATATGCTGCATCCGCATGTGTATATACACAAACATGGAATATGCTTGTTTCAGAGCTATGATTGACACAATGGCACCAGGATAGGCTAATAATGATAAACAAGGGATTTAACTGAAATTGAAAGTAAAAAATCACAATAATTCTGCTTAACCAGTGACTCAGTACCCTTTCTCTACCCATCCCCACATACGCACATCTTTATCGTCGGGGGCTTGCTCCCAGAGGATGGTGGCCTGACAGAGAGTCACAGCAGAGGACCTGCCACTTCGAATCACCTCCAACACCTCTTCATTGGTCCTATACACACACATAATAAGCACAGACATTCAGTGGCGTTTCTAGGATTTACATTAGGGGGTGCTGGGAGAGCGCGCGCGCAAAATGATATATCCCGGGGTGAATTCATTGTTCAGCTGTATTATAGACACGTCATTGTTCAGCACTGAGTATGTTAGCCATTTGTAGCCTCCTCTAGCAAATTCGTCTACGACTTGCATTTCGAACTGATGATAACATATACCGGGGTGAATTCATTGTTAAGCTATATTATAGACACGTCATTGTTCAGCACTGAGTATGTTAGCCATTTGTAGCCTCCTCTAGCAAATTCGTCTACGACTTGCATTTCGAACTGATGATAATATATACCGGGGTGAATTCATTGTTAAGCTGTATTATAGACACGTCATTGTTCAGCACTGAGTATGTTAGCCATTTGTAGCCTCCTCGGGTGATGTCTAGCTAATTAATCTACGACTTGCATTTCGAACTGCCTGCGCGGGTTCAATGCTTGCGCGGCTAAGTGCCACGCCCGTTTTTACGCTCACGTGAAGGTCCCTGGTCGCCGACTCGGATGCCGCCGCAGTGAGTTAGCCGCTCGCATTACTAGGCTCACTGCGGTGGCATCCGAGTCGGCGACCAGGGACCTTCACCGCAGTGAGCCTAGTCGAGTCATGCGAGCTGCTAACTTTTGTATGTTGAAGTGGTGGCGTATCCAGGGGGGGTGCTGGAGTACCCAAAGAACCCCCCCCCCCACTGGATACGCCACTGGACATTTATCAGGTAAACCCATCAGTCTTCTATTATAATCCAGACACGAATGGGAGAGAAAAAATTGTCCATATTAGTGAGGTGTCCTTATTTCAGGCAGGCAAGTACAGTGGGACCTCCGAATAATGAAATATTGGGACAGCAATTTTTTTCATTATTCAGAGGTTTTCTTTATTGAGAGGTAAATTTGTACATAATGGTAAAGGCAGTTGGTACATGGGAATAAGTTCATTATAGAGAGGTTTTCACTGTTGGGGGAGTTCATTATCAGAGGTTCCACTATACTGTTCTTGGGGAAAGAAAAGGTGCCCTCATTAGATTTCAGGGATGTCCTTAGAGAGGGGCTCCAGCTTTTGTATTGTGTCATAATAGTAACGATGGAATGCATTATACAATAAGCCATCAAACGAAGCATTGTAATCTAATAAACTACAAACTGCGCATAAGGAAATTGTCTCGTTTGTCTAATTACACAATCCACGATCTTTTTTCAGTTTCCAAGTGAGGGCGGAAATGGTAAGTTGGGACACATGTCTGTGATCAAATGGCGTGAGATTGAGCAGCTGCGCTAGAGAAACAGAGGGCATCAGGTACCGTCCGATGATTAGCGGAGGAATGTAGGGTGTTATCGAACCTCTCATTGATGTGATACTGTTTTGTATGTACGTATGAACGTAGGTCTGTGGTACTTTACTTCATATTTTGGACATATATAGCAGAATTGTAGAAAGGTTGAGAAAAGAAAAAAATCAAAGTAACATTTTACTATTACCATTAATTGAGGGGGAGGGTCTACATTCAATAGAATTGCACGTTTTTCTTTCCTTAAAATTGAGCTGCTTTTGCACATTTAAACCTCTAGACAATGGTCCCATCCCAAAAAATTTCATGGGTGGTTACTAAAAATTTTCTCCCCTATGCCCCTATGACAAAATACTACTTTGCCATGTAATGTGTGTGTGTTGAAAAGGAAAAAAACTTGGAAAAAGGGCCCATGTATATACATACATGATTTTCTTTCTGGTCTTGCTGCTGCCATCACTCAGTTGGGTGGGGTCATCTCTCTTCATCCCTTCCAGGACAATGCTGACATTCAGAGCTTTCTTCTGGTTGGGTAGATGAGTCTGTAGCCACGGTGACAGTGGGGATACACAAAACATTATAGCAGTGGATTTGACTTTATGACATTAACACATTGTCTTCGTTGTGTGAAACCCCCTATTTCAGACAATAATGGCAGAAAATGGGCAGAATAAAGCATCCATAATTAGTGAGATGCAATAAGGTGTACTTCAAGGGTTAAATCGCATGTTTTCTTTAGCAAGCAAATGAATGAAGTGTCCTCATTTGGAATAAAGGACACTTTCAATATCACGAACCATTCACGTATGCATCTTCTTTGGTTTCCCGGAGAATTTTGAGACACTAATGGCGGAAAATATATTACTGCAGTGAGATGTACTTCAGGGGTTAAATTGCAGGTTTTCTTTAGCAAGCAAATGAATGAAGTGTCCTCATTTGGAACTTCAATAGTACGAAGCATTAATTAACACAGATGTACCTTCTTCGGTTTCCCGCTGAATTTTCCATCTGTTCCCTCGTTTTTCTGACAGAAAAATGTCTCGATGTGCGTCTCGCTCACGGTAACTTTAACCCTCTCCTCACCAGCCCCGTGCCACACTGCAGACGATTGCTTGGCATCGTAATCTGGTGCCTGCGTGCATATGTAAAGTACGACATACCTGACTATTGTCAATATCCATTGCTCTATAATACTTGGTAGCAAATGCTTTGGAGGTAACGTACTTGCATAGCAATACTGCTATACAACCGTACCTTTTCCCAGTTTATTTTTTTCATCTTCTTGGTTGGTGTATAGTGGCGAGCTTTGTCAAAGACGGATTTGATGACAGCCACGGTCTTACTCATTGGGTTGAATGAGGAGGAGGGGGAGGGGGAGGGGGAGGACCCGGGGCTGAGAGAGAGAGAGAGAGAGGGAGAAAGAGCGAAAACTTTAGTCAAGTGGTAGCTACAAATGGTCCCCATTGTTTGCCAATTGCCTTTCTACCTCGTTACAAGTTGTTGAGACATGTACGTATGCAGGCTCGACAAAATCTCATCATTAACACTCGGCGGGCATGCGCAGCGAGGGTTACGGTAGTTGTCCCGTAAGTGTGTCTGTCAGTCTGTCTGTCTGTTACCACGTTTTCTGCCACCGCGCGCACGAAATCAGGTAAATAGCGATATGATCGGGTTCAGTGCTACACTGGGTTGATTTTTAAAAAGGCGATTTTCGTAAAACTACTGTGTTTTAAAGTTATGGCGTGAAAACCAAGTGAACAAGCCAATATGTAAATTAGCACAGGCTTACCTCGACCGCGTCAGTTCGCTCTGTGTGTCTTGAAGGCACAACAAGTCACAACGAAGGGCATGTATCGAATCCCGCATGCTATCTACTACTGTAGCTAGCCCGTGTCAGACTCTCCGCGAGCTACTAGCGGGATACCACGAGTAAAGGCATAAAAAGCCCAGCCCATCAACTAGTGGTATACCGCACATGCGCAGTTCGCCGAGGGTTTGCACTTTAGTGCTTTTCATTGTGTCAGCTTTTTATAGTGCATCCACCTGTTGCGGATTCAGGTGCAGTACTGTATGTTTATAAGGTGTAAATTACCGTGTGTTTAGGTGAAAACTGTGTTTAATTCAAGGCAGGCTTGTGCAGCCAAAAGAGACAAAGAGTGGTTTGAAACACTGATGAGAACAAAAAAGACTCGACAAGACAAGCAGAACACTGAGCTATCAGGGCAGCTCAGCAGTCAACACTCACACCTTTTGTATTGTATTAAGTGACTTTGTGAACCTCACCACACACAGGATCAGCAGGCAACACTCACACTATGTATATACTCAGACCTTGTAAACCCTTGCAGTTACTATATAGTATTACACTAGTACACCACACAACCATGGGAAATGTACATGGGTCTACGAAATAGATTCACAAAAACTGAACAGTTATGTCCGTGGGTTCACTTTTTCTCTGCAAATCATTTTTCACGCCCGAAGATTTCTTTATTACGTTTATTTCTTTATTACTTGCGTGTATGATAGTGTATTAGTAAACTGTTCCTTATTAGCTGCGTGCATGATATTATGATGTACATACATACCAGGCACAGAGGGTGTGGGAATGGAGTCAGTAGTTGCACCAGTAACTGATGTACTATTAGATTCAGTGGAGGAGGAGGAGGGGTCCCCACTTGTTTCTTCCACCTCTCTCGATTTCCTCGCTGCCTCTTCCTCTAGTGCTCTCCGTAGCGACACAATCTCTGGAGCGAGGGAGTTGGGGATTTGAGATCCGCAATTTTTTACATCTGACTACACTTAAACCTCTGTAATCCAGACTCCAATGGGACTATATATAATACTAGGAATGCGCACGTGCATATTTTGCCTCGCGCCTGCCAGCCAATGCGTAAACAGTCCGACTGAGGCCGCTCGTGCGCGCGCTCTACTGACTGCGCGCGGAGCCAGACATCCTACGAATCTGCGCGCACGGCGGAAATTGACATTCCTAAGCGTGACTAATTGACATTCCCTAAGCGTGACTAATTGACATTCTTAAGCGTGACCAACACGTACGCATATCGCGAGAATACAACCGGAGTAGTTCCAGAGCGCATTAGTGAGGTGTCCTTACTTCATGGGTTCAACTGCATGCAATGGCTGTTGTTCTATTGTAGTTGAATTCTCGAAGAAAACCTTTTGGTTGGCTGTAAAGAATTTTGTACTCTACTCCAACTATAAAAAGTTAGGTCTTGTTTTAAAGGTATGGCAACTATTGTGTGGCTATCATATGAAAGGGGTAAAGTTTTCCTCCCCCCGAAATCTCCCTCCAGTCTCACCTGAGGTAACGACCCGCTGCGCCTGCTGGTCGCTGTATATCTTGAGAGCTGCCTCAGTCATCGTCTCCAGTCCATTCCAGATGATGTCACCAGTGGGCGTGTCCCTCTCTATCAGGAGCATCTTCCGAAGAATGACAAGAAGTTTGGCAGCGTTTGGAGTCCCAAATACCTGATGATGAATGATGATGTCATTATGACGTAGTAGAGTAACTAGGAATGAGCACGCGCATATTTTGCCTCGCGCCTGCCAGCCAATGCGTAAACAGTCCGACTGAGGCCGCTCGTGCACGCGCTCTACTGACTGCGCGCGAAGAAATTAACCATGTTAATGAAATCAAATTGTTTTTAGCCATGCACGAAATATGGGGGTTTGTTGTATATCTGTGCAGCATATGAATCCACCCATCCCATGAGTGCAGATACAGTGTTGAAGTTGTTGAAGTACAAGTTTCAGACAGTCAGTTCCGTTAACAATGCCTACTTTAAAACTCCTTTAGAAGCCCTGAATAAGCGGAAGTTTTTCCGTTTATGGGGAGGGAATGTTATTTTGAACCTACGTGTGTAACACTGACTGTTACAATTATTGCACAGTGTACGTACGTTGGTGTAAACACACAAGTGGTAGGTGTACACAAGTGGTACAAGACTAGGGAAATAGTACTGTTTGTTCGTTCCTTCTTCCGCTATCCTCAACAACTCATCATGATGCACTACAACTGAACTACACAAACTGATGCACTACAGCTATGTTCTGATGAACTATGGACACTGTTAAAACCTTCAACAACTCAATAGCTACGGACATGATGCACTACAGTTACATACTGATGCACTACAGCTATGTTCTGATCATCAACTATGGACACAGTTAAAACCTTCAACAACTCAATAGCTACGGACATGATGCACTACAGTTACATACTGATGCACTACAGCTATGTTCTGATCATCAACTATGGACACAGTTAAAACCTTCAACAACTCAATAGCTACGGACATGATGCACTACAGTTGCATACTGATGCACTAGAGCTATGTTCTGATCATCAACTATGGACACAGTTAAAACATGGCACTTTAAACGTGCAAGTAAAAGACTGAAGTAAAGAGATTCACTAACTGAAAGCGTGGCATTATTCTGGTGTAAATTAAAACCGTGGCATTTTGTACGCATGTCGTAAGTTTCATTACACGTTTTATTAACAGTAAATATTCTGTAGTTTTAATTTGGCATAGCCTCATAGGTTTCAGCTTGGTATAAAATGCACAACGGTTGTTTGGTTGTGAAACTCTTTAGTTACGCAATGATATCAGTGACATCACAGCATATAGCATGTGGAGTGAGACCTTTTCAAAGAGGGCAGAGAAGACCTGCTGATGATCAGTTATGTCCACCCCACCAGGCATGGCTGCCTCCTCCCTATCTCTCATTAGTCCCTCCTCGTACAACTTCACCTGCTGGAGCAGCGCTGCGCTGTCAGTGTACCTGTCACACACAAGTACATACGTCATCAGAAATGCCCCACAGTCCCGAAATGTGAAATTCAATACTCAGCCTTAGTTCCAGTGCATACCACAATATTGACCTCAAGCTATGTAGCTCAGGCTGTGCCTATAGCAACAATTTACATACAGTGGAATCTCTTAATACCAACACTGTTAAATCGAAACACCTGCTTAATACGAACCACTTTTAAATCCCCAGGCATTATACAACTAGCTACTGTTATAGGGAAATTCCTTCTAATAATGAAAATTTGTTGATGGTCCCCTGGAGTTCATATTAATGAGGTTGCACTGTAGTCATTACATGACTTTATTGAACCACAAGAATTCCTGCATATTACCTGAGTCCCACTTCACCTAAGTAAATGCATTTTTATAGTTTCAATTTTTATAATCAGATCAAGAGGAGGCGGTTCTTTTCGTCTTGTTAAGGACATGTAAACAACGTGAGTGAGTGATCTTTACAGTTCAGGTAGCTACGTACTTGTAAACATTATCATAAATCGTGTATAACACATACCTCATTATTCCAAGTATGTCTGAAAAATCAAGAGCTGTAAGAATGAAAATAAGTCCTACGTATCACGCATGCATGGCAGAATTGACGTACAATGAGAGAAAGATTACCCATTGTTACACACTTACATACATAGTAAAGAAATAATTATTGTTGCAGGGGAGTATAGTAAAACTCTTGTTTTTATAAAGTTCTCCAAGGAACTACTTAATTTTATCTACGTACATTGTACATATACGTAGCTAGCAAACAATACTAACAGAGGCTCACGAAGAGTAGGATTCAGTGAAGCTCAAACACGTAGCCTCACCAAGGAAACCTAAAAGTGACCTCTTCCTTATAATCCAAAGGATGCATCTCCAGCCAGGAAGTTGTTTCTATAGTGTCAGTAAACAGAGAAATCCCTAAAAGGACACCCCTGAAATGGGGACACCTTTCTAACTTTTCTTTTCCCAAGGGAAGTTCTTGCACACAATTTTATCTTTGAAATAAAGACGCCTCGCTAATGTGGACACTCTCTTCCTTCCCACTGGTGTCTGGTTACCCATGTATAGGTATGCCTACTATGAGGTAAGGCTTCCGTTTCCCCTATTTACAAGGTATGGAGTATACATATGCAGTATGGTTGAAGGAAAAGTGGCAAGGAGCTCATTGTAACCACACAGGAAGAAGACTATGACTGCAGAGGAAACTCGGAGTCTGCAGAGGAAACTCTGGAGTCTCCCGATGACCGGTCATGGTCCATATTCAGTGACCACAGGGTTAACCGACAACCTTTGTACTGATGTATAATTATACTCTAAAAGGATTCAGGATTCTCAAATCTAAAGTTTCGAGGTTTGAGCTTCATACCAACGTACTGTGGAAAGGGAATTTGCTGCATTGCATTGAGTTTTGAAAGTGATACAGTGGAGCCCCTCTAATCCAGACACCAATGGGACAGAAGAAAGTGTCGATATTAGTGAGGTGACCTTATTTCAGGGGTTGAATCACATTAAAGAATTGTTCGTGGAGAAAGGTGTCCCCATTCAGGGTGTCCTAAGAGATGGGGTTCTACTGTACATATATACCACATTTGTGTGGTGTTAGAAATGGCTGAGTGTGAGACTAACCGTTGAGGTCACTCCTGAGTCTCAGTCTCTGCTGCAGGTCCTCGCAGGAAGAGAGGAGGTAGTTGATAAACACCATGACTGTGGCCTGACACTCGGGGAAGGCAGCGTTCTGACTCAGCTCCTGAACCAAAACACTGTAACGATGCCGCATGCACAGTTCAGTCTGTGGGAGAGAGAAGAGACAAAATGTTTTTTTATTTTTATGATACACAAAACACTGCTTGAATCAAAAAGTGTCCCAAATAAAACTTTTACCCAAAACCCTTTAGCCGTGTATGTGTCCTGCTACTTTAGTGAACGTGGAAAAACTTAGAGCCACAGCCTTAGGTGTAAGAAGCAAGCCTAGAGCACATGAGCTCAAATTCTACTTTGATGTTTGTAGCTACATACTGAAAGGTTTTGGTACACATAATTATGGGATGCTGCTTTCAGGTGCTATTAGTTCACCATCCTGTCAACATCTTACTGGCCTGCAGTGTATGAAGTATTGTGCCAGTAGTGTCTATTACAGGCAGCAATGTTTAGTTACTATGGTTTCCCACTGGCAGTAAACAACTGAAGGTGTGAGCTTGCTTTCCGAGTGAATACCTACAGATGGGACCACCTTTTCCAGGGAAGACCACATGGTACTGGTTGAAATCAAACTTTCACTGAAATAACAGCAGGTATAGTATAGTAGCCTCTGGAGTATTATAGTATAGTGAGAAGGTAAGGAAAATATAGTAGTGTGATGATTCCTAATAAAGTCTATCAGAGCTGGAAGGATATCCTGTTAGCTTACTGGTATGAGTAGTGGCACTATAACATTTATGGTAAGGATCTCCTGGTAGGGCTACAGGGCAGCACCAAGTGCATGGCTCAACTGCTCAATATTATTGATGTGCATGATGGAACACATGCAGTGGATCTTTAACTAGCGTGGACTATCCACATAATTTACGATATAGAGCAAAGACGTTTGGGTATAATGTGTGTGACTGTGTTAGTGAGTCTGATTATAAACACACTCCATAGAGAGTAGCATTCAATTGGTTTGCTTGGATGTGTGCGTTACCGACGACCTGTATATATGGGTATACACAAGACAGAGAAGGGAAGAGGGAAGATCAATTTGTCCTGGGGGTGTAGCTCAGTGCATATGTGAGTCAAATCCTAACAGCAGTATGTGTATTCTGTTCTCTCTTTGGTCTGTGTGTGTACGCATAGTGGATGTGTGTGTTACCGACGACCTGTATATATGGAGAGAAGGGAAGAGGGAAGATCAATTTGTCCTGGGGGTGTAGCTCAGTGCATATGTGAGTCAAATCCTAACAGCAGTATGTGTATTCTGTTCTCTCTTTGGTCTGTGTGTGTACGCATAGTGGATGTGTGTGTTACCGACGACCTGTATATATGGAGAGAAGGGAAGAGGGAAGATCAACATTTGTCCTGGGGGTGTAGATCAGTGCATATGTGACTGAGTCTTGGTCTCTCAAATCCTAACAGCAGTATGTGTATTCTGCTCTCTCCTTGGTCTGTGTGTGTACGCATACTTCATGTGTTAAACTGTAGCTTTCCCCCTAACTATACTAAATTCTTTGCCCTGCCCTCCACAATAGGCAACAGTGAGTCTGACAAGAACGCGAGTGATTGCAGCCAGCTCCTCGATTACCACACCAATCAGCTCAAATGTCAGTGAGCTGTATATAAATTACAGCACCACAATGAGGTGAAATATATAAGCTATAGCTAACTGCCGCAGAACCAGGCACCTTCCCACAAAAGTTAACACAAAAAGCAAGTAATTATTACTGGTTACTTATGCCACCATGCAATGTGAGTTCTATATACTTTGTATAATACTGCTAATCCCTGCCTGCTAACCTCTTCAATGGTGGCTTAGCTAGGAATATATAGTGTTTTGCCTAGAGAGCAGATTGAGTGTGTTGTGGGTTTGAATCTCACCCAGGGCGGCTAGGGCATCGTTTCGGTGGAATACAGGAGTTGTCCTGGGTGTATCAGTGCTGTTTGCCTTGCCACTGCCTTTTGAAACTTGTTGTTGATCACACACAACTTAAACCCGTTGCACATTTTGGAGGTGTTTTGAACGAACCTTCCAAATCTTTGTGGCTTTGTGGAGCCTTATAAATAGCGGAGTAGTGCTGATTCCTCACTGCATATTTGGAATTTGGGCCTATTAAGCTAAAAGCTTTCACAGGGCGTGCAAATAGTACAGGGGCGCAGGTCATAATTCAGAGGCTCGATTTATACAGGACTCGATCTGATTGGCAGTAATGGGTAGTGGTGGAGTTCAAACCTTGTAGTAGTCCAGTGCTTCCAGAGTGGCATCCAGACCCTCTTGACAGTGCTTGGATATATCAGAGAGGACAAGGAATATCTGAATCTTTAGCAGTATGTTGTCTGTATTGAGGGCTGCGTGGGGAGAGAGACAGGAGAAAAAGAGGGTGTGTATCTTAACAGAGACCATTGTATGATCTTTGTGTATATACATCAACTCATTGGGGCCAAATGATGCACCACTTGTGTTAATAATACGTAGACGTCAGCTATAGCACGCCAGAGCCATAGACCGCACACCCAGAGCAATGGGTAAAACCAAATAATTCTACACACGCATAACGAGAGTAAGAGCTAGGTTTAAATGTAGAAGACTTTCATAGAAGCTTTGCCTGCATTTACCTGACCCCAGCCCTCGTCCACATGCAAGCAATATGCATCAGTAAATTACTCTATTCCCATGAGGCACCATAGGCATAATTATACTTGGCTAGGCACAGTTAGTCACTGTGGTACTAAGTACTGCACTAATATGTGGTGTGAAAAGCAGTAAGACCGGCAATTGAGGGCCAATTCATACAATCACGAGAGACTTAGAGAATCAACAATGCTTCTAGGGTGTGGTCCTTTAGTATGTGGAACTTTTTTCTGAAACAATATTTCGCACAAGCACGCATGACGCATGTTTTTATGCCTAGGAAACCGTGCATGCTATTGCTGCGGATGTGTTACGATAGATTACGCCCACGTATCCTCTCCCCTCACCTAGAGCAATCTTTCCTACCATACTTCCTTCCTTGCCCCCGCGGCGTATGACGCACTCCAGCCCGTACCGGCAGTTGAGAACGGCTTTGAGACACGATACGACCTCCAGCCGCGGGAGGGCGTCGCTCAGACTGTCCACATCTGTCTCTCCCAGTACGGAGAGGCAGTCGAGAATGGCCGCCAGTCCGCCGTGCTCGATAAGGTCTTCCGTCCACGCTTCGTCCGCGCTCTGTATCGCTCTCTTTACGGCGGAGAGATTGCTGCAGTCGCGTAGCTGCGCAACGCAGTGCCCTGGATCCTCCATGACCATCCGCCGCGTCGCTGGATATTGGCCGACCCCGGGCCTAAACGAGCCGTGCAGAAGCAGATCGCAACCTGTCCCAATTTTTTTACACCCACGCGCGCTCGGCGATTGTTATTGCGCATGCCCTTGCATATGGCATCACGAGTGCATGAGTAAAGAAATTCATGGGTGCACTTGGCACGTTACTGACTGCACTTGGCACGTTACTGATTGCACTTGTTAGGAGAAGAAAGACCGTTGTTCACACGTCAGTAGCACCTCAATTGATACGGGAAGCGTAAAGGACCCAGCTTCCGGGTTCCGACACACGTACACACAAAAGGGTGTCACGTGCAACGTAATTTCCGCTGATTTACCACCCACCACATGCATGCGCAGCGCTAACAAAAGCCCTGAAGACGCGGACAGGGCTCCATTTGTGCCCTTGGTGTGAAATTGATCAGAATTACTCTCGAAGTGCAAGATGAAGAAGAGTCTGTTTATTGCTTTGCTTTCCTTACAATCGCTGTGGTGGTCCGCAGCGAGCGGACAAATTGACATACTTTCCTACCACTCCTGAAGAGGAGCAGCTAGCGGAAGACTGTCGGAAGAGCCTGCCTGAGCAGGAGAAATACGAAGTCGCACTCATCGAGCATTTCTTTGTCGTCGTCGAGAAAACGAACGCGCCCAACGCTAACCCCTTCGTGGAAGATTGCTCAACCGTCGCAGTCAGCAATTCCTCGGATTACGAGATGAGGGAGATCTTGCGATTAGTGGACGGGCCGAGGGCAGGACTGTGCAGCGACGTTTTAATTCTCGTCTATGGCAACCCCGTCGTTTGCGACTACGACCGCAAGTTAGCCAGGGGCATTACCTACAAGCCCACCACGGCGGAGCAGAAGGATGTGGAGGCCGCATGCATGGAAAACTTGATGGGTACTCGTACTGCACTGGTGTTGTATGAAGCGAACCCCAAGGAAGAATTTCGAGGTTATGATCTGTACGATACACTTCTTCCGGACGATGGGAACCCGTATAACGAAGAAGAATGCGGGTCGTTGTTCGCCCCCCAAGAAAAGGCAAACGAAAACAGAACATTCATATTTATCATTGGGTCCAGCACTTGCCACCACGTCTTGTACTACGAGGATGGGGAAAATCCAGTGGTTTGCCTACCCGTCGTTTGCGACTCCGGCCACAAGTGCGCCAGGGGCATTACAAACTACAAGCCCACCACGGCGGAGCAGAAGGATGTGGAGGCTGCATGCATGGAAAACTTGAAGGGACCTAACGGTACTCGTACTGCACTGGTGTTGTATGAAGCGAACCCCAAGGAAGGATTTCCAGGTTATGATCTGTACGATACACTTCTTCCGGACGACGGGGACCCGTATAACCAAGAAGAATGCAGTTCATTGTTCGAGCCCCAAGAAGAGGCAAACGAAAGCAGAACATTCATATTTATCATTCAGTCCAGCACTTGCCACCACGTCTTGTACTACCAGGATGGGGAAAATCCAGTGGTTTGCCTTTATATCTTACCAGACAATACTACCACCAGGCACGTTGTGGCTAAAGCCCCTGCTATTGTTGTTCTCGTCTTCACCTCCCTCTCTGTCATTGCTAGTGCTGCATTGCTTGTGACCCACTTGATATTCCCCTCCCTACGGACTCTTCCGAGCAAAGTCATCATGAATCTCTCCACGGCGTTCTTGTTGGGGGACATATTCTACATAGTCCAGACTTCGCTTGTTCTAGATGATCCAAGTCAAGTGTCTGTCATTGAACCTGTTGCAATCGTGGCCTATTACTTCTTTTACGCCAGATTCGTCTGGATGGCTTTGGCAGGATTTGAGATGTGCCGCACCATTCACGTCGGGACGCAGCTACGATTCAACTCTGCAGGGAAGAGGTTGAAAATCTTCCTCCTGTACTTGATAATTGGCTGGAGCCTCCCCCTCATTCCCACAATTATAATGGCAGTGGTTCACTTTGAAGAGCTGGAAAAGGGAAGGTTTGGGGGCAGAGCACTGTTTGGATTAAGTGGTATCGTCGTTGTGTTCGTTCCAGTAGGAATCGTAATGCTCTTCAACTTTGGAACTCTTCTCTTTTTGTCCTACGTTCTCTTCAAGGCACATCAGTGGCAGATCAAAGTGACCGACGCAATCAAATCGCACAAGAGAAAGACAAATTTTTCACGGATCTTTATAATCATTCTCTCGCTGCTAGGATTTACTTGGATTCTTCTGTTCCTAATCTATGTGGATGATATACAACACACTGACCCGGTCCTAATCATCACCAGTATATGTAACACACTTCAACCGATTTTTGTCACTGTTGCATTCATCGCAACGAAAAAGGTCTTCCTGAAATACAAGAACCTGTGTCGCGGAGAACGTGAAGAAGAGTCTCTCGAGACGTCTGCTGTTCAGAACAGATTCAGCAAGCGTCGCCTCATTTCGTTCCTCTTCACGGACAAGGAACTGGCCGACAAGGTTTCAAAGCATCCGTCAAAGTATCGGTTCGGTCGCTCGAACCGCAACGATTCGAAATTCAGCACCACTTCTGTCTCGATGCTGACTCGTGACTCGTCCAACAGTCTCGTCTCGCAGCCTCCCGCGACAAACGGTGTCTCCCCACCGCCCAAAGATTCCCTGGCAGCCCATCTCAGAAGAACTGGAAGACCTAGAATATGAAGAGATGGATGATTCTCCGAATCATGTTGCGGCTGATCTCAAACACAGCATTGTATAGTTTTGTCACCGCTTGATCACCAGTTTGAGGTTATCCACACATTATATATATTGCACTGTTTGGTAAACACTCAACATAATTATATGCACTGTACTCTCCCCCTCCATTTTTCATTTTCTGAAATCATATCACTCTTTCTCGATCAGGTATAAATATTATTAAAAATTATATTTTTCACATTCCCCAACTCCTGTGTACAATGCCGAGTAATGCAGTAATGATAGGTTTGGAATGCACTTACTATCCTTTGTCCCCACTTCAAGGGCTGGCACTTGATACACTGTGTACACAAACAATAGACTGAAGTCCTACCCACTCTTACTAAGTGGGTTTGTGTACAATAGCAGATGTTGATGGTCACTTGGAAGACCTATTGAGCACTTCCCTTTCTAGGGGTGAATGAATATGGTGAGGAGAGGCTGATCCAACTAGTATAATATACACACTTGTCAATTGAGAAAATACAAAGTGAAGAAGAGAGCTCCCAACCTACAGATAAAACCCTTCTTGGAGTATTTTTGCTTGAAAATGCGTCATGTCCATCTATCACAGGTTAGCACAAAAAGAAGGATTTGGCGATTTTCTGGTAGGATGGGCAGTACATTTGCTTGATTATCAAGCAAAAAGCTGGATCTTTGGTAGGTAGGAGTTCCATAAAATTCTTTCTTCCTTTCATTTACTGTGTATCTCCACATGTATACTGTTTTGGCTGTCCAATTGAGGATGTGCACACATGCCATACAGAACCTTGATGCATGTTGTAGTTGTGATGGCTGGGCATATATAAGGAATGTCTATTCTAATATGGATGAGGTATACACACACACACCAATTAATTAACATATCTTGAACTTACCAAGGGTGTGACATGACATCTGACACACTGACCTATATACGTACCCTCCTCATTGTCCCACACACAGTCTATGGAGCTACATTTCAGTTTTGTGTTCTCAACATTTTAGCTCTCTATAGCTTTCTATGCAACCTGCAAATGAGGTATTATGCGTGTTGCTATAGTGCTGCATTTACACAGAGGAGCTCTTCCCTTGAAAACCTTGCTTGAGCTTTATGCAGTCTGTAATGGCACACTCATGCCTTTAACACCACTCATGGATATTATTGTGGCCGAATTCCACCCAATGTATCTATGCATTGCTGCATGAACAAAAACTTTTTAATGAGCTGTGGCACAGAGGGACATAGTCCCTCTATATCTCTTTAATTGTCCCCCAGAATTATGCTTCTCAGGGGAAACTTTGACCCCCAAATAGTAGGTGTGCTGTTATTGGGACCATCTACATTTTGTTGCTAGCGAGGCTGGTTGTCCTCCAGCAAATAAATCTCTGGAGCTAGGCTCTGCTGTGGTGAATGCGTTGCACTCAGACCTTACATTTCTTTTCTGCTTGGGGTTGATAGAGTGAGCCTTGTCTGCCTGCACACTAGCTACAATACCCTGCAGGTAGTTCAGAACTCACAGTGCTGCTTATTATGGTGTAGGGGCCACAGGCTCAGTCTATTATGTCTTCTGTGAAGTATTGTGTGCATTGCAACCTCCTTCCTGCAATTCTGTCACCATCACTGTGTGTGTATGGTCTAGACAATATCCTGGCGCTGCCCACAGATCATATATTATGCTGTATTACATAAGCACCCAGCTGAAGCATTATAGGACAAGATCAAAAACAATTCATGTAGTTTAACCCTTGGTTAAACGAGGTTAATTAATAGGGAGGTGCCTCCAGGCCACGACGTCACATAGCTGTATGAGGGTAGCACGCATGCGGCAGCAGGGCTGGTCGCCTATAAAAGCTAGAAACTGACCAGTCCGTACGCTCGGCATCAGCTCACCAGGCCTCCTTGTGCAGCAGCCAGCAAAATATCCCTCCCACCCTTGCTTCCCTGTATTATTTTATTGTTCTCCACCAGTTATCTGGTGTGATCGTGCATGTGGGCTGGATGGGTGTGGTTGTGAGAAACAATTGCAACCACAAAAAGTTGATCATGACATACCACAGAGGCTGGTAATGGACTTTCATCCAGTCCACATGCATATTCCACAATTGAAATTGTGAGGAGGGTCATGTAAATGCTACGAATCTCATTAACTGGGACATGGTGAGATCATTTTCCGATGAAGATTGACACCATGTTAGCTAGCAGCTCGATCGCCCCCGCTCATTTGCACGCGCACCCGGAAGCATACTGGAGGCGTGCCAGGAGCGTACGTACGTAGGTTTGGTAACGGAGCTAACGTTTTCAGATTTGTTGGACACCGAACAAAAAGCCTGCAATGCTTCGAAGACGGCAGTAGTGCAGTAGTCTTCAGTGCTAGCAGTGCAGTGTTATACGCGGGCAGAGGGGAAGACATGACGACTTTGCTTGTTTTTCTGTGGTCGACGCCGTTCTTGTGGGCGTTGGCTCGCGCTGAGGGAATCCGCTACGAGCCTGTGAAAGCCGCAGAGCAGAGTATTGCAGACGAATGCACGAGCAACCTGACCCAACAGGACAAGTACACTGTGTCGCTCATTCGGTACAGCATTGGAGCCGTCACTATCGTGGAAACGGACGCCCCCAACACTGATCCTTACGTCGAAGATTGCTCCACAGTAAGCATCAGTAGCAACTCTTCTAATGACAGCAGCATCAGAAGAATAGTGCGATTGGATTCACAGAACACTTGCCACGACGTCCTATTTGTAGTCGCCGGCAGCGACGACCCTGTAGTGTGCGGATACGACCCAATATTTGCTGGACCTTCCATAGACTACCAGCCTCGTACGGAACACGAAGAAGAGATCGAGACACGCTGCAAGCAATTCTTGCCCCATCCGCACGGATACAGGCCCACTCTAGTGAAGTACGAGTCAAACCCAAAAGGAGCATTTCCCGGCTACAATCAGTGGAACGTTACGTACCCCAACAGCGAGGATTCTTTCCGTGAAGACTGCTCGCTTCTGTCCGACTCTTCAGCTGCGCCTCCAGAGCCACCCGCTGAAACGAGACCAGTTATTTTCATCACTCAGTCATGTCACGACGTTTTGTTCTTTGAGAATGGAACAAATCCAGTAGTTTGTCTGTATGTCCACACTTTTGAGGTGGTATATGGAGGACAAGGTGATGTGTACAAGCCAACTACACCACCGGAGCAAAAATTTGACACTGAATGCAAGAAAAACTTAGTAGACAGGTACACTGTCTCTCTCAGGAAATACACACTGAGCAACGACAACCAAAGAGCTTCGATTCATAAGACGGACACACCCAATTCGAACACCTTTGCTGAGGACTGCACCTCTGTTGGAATTAGGAATTTCACTTCAGGTGCCTTCAGAGACATCCTCTATTTGGTAAACGGGACAGATGTGACTTGCCATGATGTTCTATTCCTATACAATGGAACCGACCCAGTTGTCTGCTACTATGAGGCTAAAGTAGCTGGACCCATGATAAACTACGAACCTCGCACAGACGAAGAACGCGGGATTGAGAGACAGTGCAAGCAAAACTTGCCCCATCCGTCAAACACTTTCGTCGCTTTAGTAGAGTATGAGTCAAACCCCGAACAAGCCTTTCCTGGTTATATCCAATGGGAAGTTACATACCCCGACACTGTGGATTCTTACAGGGAAAATTGCACGATTCTGTACGCCTTTTTGACTGAGGGTCCGGATCAGTTTGTCAACGAAACCCGACCTGTGATACTCATCAGTGAGTCTGACACGTGTCATGACGTTCTGTTCTTCACCAACGAGACCAACCCTGTCGTTTGCCTCTTTATAATTAATCCAGAAGTCGTGTTTGAAGTGCACAAAGATGCATCCATCATCGTCCTGTTCTTTACCTCTCTCTCTATCGTTGCTAGCATTGTTCTACTGGTGACCCACCTGATTTTCCCGTCACTTCAGACCAACCCGAGCAGAGTCATCATGAATCTTTCCACGGCGTTCTTGTTGGGGGACATATTCTACATAGTCCAGACTTCACTCACTCTTGATGATCCAAGTCAATCGTCCGTTATTGACCCAATAGTAATCGTGGCTTATTATTTCTTCTACGCTCGATTCGTCTGGATGGCTTTGGCGGGATTTGAGATGTGCCGAACGATTCACGTCGGGACTCAACTGAGATTCAACTCGGCAAGCAAACGGTTGAAAATTCTCATAATTTACATGGTAACGGGCTGGAGCCTTCCCCTTGTTCCAACAATAATAATGGCCGTGGTTCACTTTGAAGAGCTGGAGAAAGAAGATCCCGGGAAACCATCACTGTTTGGTATAGGTGGTCTCCTTGTTGTGCTCGTTCCAGTGATAATCATATTGTTCTTCAACGTCGGAATAGTCGTGTATCTCTCCTACATTCTTCACAAGGCTCATCAGTGGCAGATCAAAGTGACAGACGCCATCAAATCGCACAGACGGAAGACAAATTTCTCGCGGATTTTCGTCATCATCCTCACACTGCTGGGTGTGACTTGGATCCTATTCTTCCTCATCTACATTGACGGAATCAACCAGAGCGACGCTGTTCAAATCACCACAGCAGTTTTGAACTCACTCCAGCCGATAGTTGTGTCCATTGCCTTTTTAGGAACAAAGAAAATCTTCCGAAAATACAAGAACTTGGTCTCCACCAAGAAAGACGAAGAACCCTCTGATATTTCGGTTCTTCAAAATCGTTTCCGTCGCAGCAACCGTCGACTCATGTCATTCCTCTTCACGGACAAGGAACTGGCCGAAGCGGTTTCGAAGCATTCGCATCGTCCGCACCGGTTCGGTTGGCGAAGTCGGACCAATTCCGAGCTCAGCGCCACGTCGTTTTCAATGTTCTCTCGTGATTCCTCGCAGAGTCTCGTTTCGTCGCCTCCCGCACTGAACGGCATATCCACACCTCCCAAAGAACCTCCCAGCCTTGCTCCCATATGCGAAGAAGCTGAAGAACCCGAAGCACAAGATTCTCCAAGTCATGTGACAGTTGATTTACAAGACAGCAATTTATAGTTTTTACAGCACATAATCTGTGGCGGCGGCACCATTTTCAAAACCACCCATTCATGCTGTATGTGTATACATCCTTTCCGCCTGTTCATGTTTTGTATAGTGGTCACCCTTTCAACTGAGTTTTTATAAACTACTTGTATACTAAAGTACAGTATTTTGATTATACGGTGTAAAGATTGAAGTGGGACCTTTTACTATAGGTAGGTGCGTAATACTTTGGAATGCTAAGAGAAGCCCAACGAGAGCTCCCTTTCACCGTCACTTCAAGGGCTCCAATATACTATAAAACTATAGACAGTATATAAATATAATATAGCCAAGTCTTTGTGCCCTTGTAAGCTGCACTATGTGCAAACTATGCTGTGGGTTGAGATATCCATTTCAGGAAGTGGTACATGCAGTGTCTGCCTAAAAAGGGACTTCAGAATGCAATGAATTACATGCCTCTTTGTCCTCTGTAATGGGAGGTAGCACCTATAGCGCGTGCCTTGCTTATTAGTGTATATACAAGGCTGGAACTACAGGTAAAGCTTATGTGGGAAAGTGTGCGAGGTATTGCTGACCGTTATTCAGCAAAAAATCTCGGTGTATGTGTATCCTGTCTGTTTCTATAAGGCAGTGTTCTCGCTGGGATCAACTGCCCAAATGAAGGAAGTTATTAGGTTGGTAGATGCTTAATCCAGGAAGTTGGTGTAAGACACAATGCTGAACTTTGTTTCATAGGGTACCTTTGAGCAGGAAGTGTAGTGTGTAACAGGTAGTGAACATCAGTTAAGGAATGGTCATGTGGAAAGTATGAGTGCATGTGAGGTGGGTCCAGAAGGAAATCGGGTGAATGTGAATTCGTAAACAAGTCTTACTTCGTGGAATAAACTATCCACACCTGTCTAAATGAGGGAAGTGTAGGCTAGGTGTATAGACACAATGCTGGAGTCTATACCATGGGGAGAATCATGCAGGAAGACATTATGCAGTGTAACTCAGACAGGAGACAATTTCAATCAACATCGAGCCTCTCGTGTTTCACAGAGAATTATGACGCACAATTGAGGAGAATGAAGCAAACAGAAACGCAGCTGCAGTGCTCACACATCGGAATGCCAACAACATGCATTGAACTCTTTCAGTTTGAGCTCTTGGAATGCTAGCAACTATGTATGCTCCCATGCACAGGAGGAAACTGCCAAAACAGGCTCATGTACATACTAGTGACAGTGTGGGATGAACCTACACGCGGCATGATTCAGCAAATGCACACATAATTTAGCCATCCCACAGAAGAACCGTCCCTTATTCTATGGTAGGTATGCATGTGAACCAAGGCTAGCCAATACTAGCAGGTGCAAACTCTCCCATGGCCTAGCCAGTGTGCCTAGTAAGTATAATTACACTAATAATAGCAGGAGAGCCTGTTGTGTACATTCCTATTGCCCAGCCAGTCACTACACAGCCGCAAGAGTGAGAGAATACTAACCCTGTACATTGTTACAGAGCTACATATATATGCCTCAGAATTTACGCATGAAACCACGAAATGGAAGGACAAGTAACGGGTGATTCCACAGGGGAGTGTAAACGAAAATAAAAGTGTCTCAAGGGAATTGAAAAGTGTTGAGTTAATTCTCAGGAATCTTAAACTGTCTACCAATGTAGTCTAAATAATGTTTGCATTTCCTGTCACTGGCAGTTTTTGACTTGCCACAAGTGTGAGTTTAACTGTTATAATTATACTGTCCAACTTTATTTCATGTGTTCTAGAGTATGTATGTACTTTGCAATTAAACCTTTGATGGGTGTGTTTAATTGATCGTGTAGTTTGTATATACTCTGGATACAGTGCACACAGAACAGACAAAACTAGGAAAGGTGGGGCAATAAAAAATAAATAAATAAATGAACTGGAGCGATAAGTATGTGAAATAACACTATGTACATACGTACTATAAGGGGAAGGGAGAGCGAGCTGGGCTACTGAAAAAACTCCCTATCATAGCCCCATACATCTATGATGCTAGGTACCATGTAAGTACTACTGTACTTACAGATACTCTATGTACAGGGCTTGAGTATGCAGACCCCTCAGAGTGTTAACTCATGTTGTGTTACAACAAATCCCTTGTAGGTTATTTCAGAGCTGTGGGGTTGTATTAGCATTAGCACCATAGTCTACACCAGGAAATATATTGCCTGGGAAAGCTGTTTGCATGGGGTTTCCATATGCTGGGGAAGGGGTGAGAATGAGGAATGAGGGGGAGGGAGTGAGGATGAGGAATGAGGAATGAGGGGGAGGGGGGAGTGGGAGAGCACACCTTATACACAGGGGATAAGATTACTTGCCTGGTCCATTGCATTGTTGCAGTAGTTTGTTACACTACCATGTAACTAGGGCAACACAGCACCAGTTACTATTTGACACCAAGAGATACACTGGCTATATGCAGAATACTCTCTAGTGCAGAATACTCGTGGTAGCAACACCAGGGAAAAGGGAAGCAGGATACTGGCAAAGTCTGAAGGGACATGAGAGGAGTTACAAGGGCTCTAGCTATTCACTCACAGGAATCAACACAATAGTCACGAGGAAGTGGGTAACCTGAAAGTCTTTATAAATGTATTATTGCACATTGCTATAATGTACTTACCGTAGTACCTCCAACTACACTAAAGGCATCAGGACAGTCTATACACACTATATTGTGCATATCGTAACACATTGGTATAATAATTGAGGGGGTCAGAGTCAGAGTGAGCCAACCCTCAATATACAACTCTCGCAAGTTTTCCTTCAAAAATGTCCTTATAGAACAAAAACCTGCACTTAGAGTTGTATATTGAGGGTTGGCTCACTCTGGCTCTGACCCCTTCAATTATGTGAGTGGTACATTACATCCTTACCATAGTGCCTCATACTTAAAAAAGAACATTGGCCGCAACTTTTAAGAACTTTGCGTGAGTTTCATCGTATCACACACAACTGTTTCTTGATACCAAGTACACACCTTTTGGAGAACCTTTTTCTTCCATTATTGGATTTTTTGCCCACTAATGGTGTATAAATTGGGGCTGTGTATAAATACAATTACGTACCTGTGTGTGTAATTGTATTGCCGCCACAGTGTTGGCAATAAGCTCTCAGAAAAGGTGTAGAAAGTTAGTTATCCAAACTTTCACATACTATCTGACTGGTTTTTGTCCCAAGGGGTTATGATTAGAGCTAATGACCCACTATGAAGAGATGGTCCATTGACTATAGTGAAGGGCAGAGGTTAAGTAGCCTAACCCCACCCAACACTACATTGATATGTTCAGTAAGAATAACAGTTTGTAAAATCCAGTACACCCCATTGATTCTTGCCTCTTCCATCATCAATAGAATGCTGAGCATTTTTGGCTAACAATAGGAGCGAGAGCTGCAGAAATACCTTGCGCATCAATTTGTATAATCAAGAGAGACGCATGTTCAGTTGGACGATGTACTGCTGTAAGAGAACAGTCGTGCTGTCATGCCTTGGGTATACGCACGATTATTGCAGCAAATAGTCCAATGGTTAAGTAGTGATAAAGTGTTTCTACACGGCATAAGAACACAACAGCTTATAGCTCAATCACATCATACAAAAATAGATAGTGCTACAATATACTTGATTCGTGTTATAAAAAAATCTAGGTGTTTCCCTATGTGCTATACACCTACAGTTCTACAGATATCACACAATAAACACCCTCTCTATATATAATAGGTATAATAATATGAATACCACCAGGTTCTCTAAGAGGAGAGGCGGGATTTGATGAAACTAGCAACCAGTGACTGAGGTCTCATCCCAAATGACTTGTACTCCTCTTCTTGTATCTTCACCTGAATAGATGGTGGAGTGTTTTAACGCCAGTTTTTGATTTCAAATTGCAAATTCTTTGTGAAATGGCAGTTTTGCAAGTTACGTTCCTAGCAGCTGAACTACTTTTGTGTAGGTTTTGCAAAAATTCGCTTATGTCACCAGCCGAAAAGAGCCAAGGTGAATATCATGTTCTGTGTCACCAAGCACAGAGTTAAACGTTCGCATTTGCCTTGTGTCGCATGTTTTAACCCCTGCCTGCTGAGTCACTGACGCTGTAGCATTTGCCGCGGAATGTCCATTAAATACCTGACCTTTGATCCACTACAAGCGCTTGTAGCGAATATTGTTAAAAGTTAAAAGTTTGCATTTGCTTTGTGTCGCAAGTTTTAACCCCTGCCTGCTGAGCCGCCCTTAGTTAGAAGTGCCGTGGGTTTGAATGTCAACCAGAACGGCTGTTTTAGTTCGAATAAAGAGCTGTCCCGGGGTGAAGTTGTGCTTTTGTCTTGCTTGTCTTTGCCTTGCGGCCATTGTTATTCACTAACGTACACATACATATACTTTATGTATCAATTACAGTTAGTAAGTTAAGCAATAGTTTAGTGTCTGCCAAGCCATAGTCATTGATGAGTGGCGGTACGCGTGTGTGTGTTCATGCCTACTATACTCCCTCGCAGTCAATAACTGAAGTGTCGCACCTGGCCATTGCTATATATGTAGAACATAGCACCCTGTGCATATGGTACAGCTTTACTCCAGTAGTTGGGTGCAAAGGAGTATAATGTCATAAGAAAGAGCTACAAATTAGATCACTATTACTTCCGTGAAGGGGTGATCAACTACAAGTTAGTTAATGAATTAGGTGAGAGGCGGACTGAAGTATGCATGTTGTTGTTACACGTGTCTCCCATCCTTGATTTCCCTCTTACACACACACGCTCTCCCGATCTCAAACTTTACTTTCATTTTCCTCTCCCTTTCTGCTTCCCTCCCTCTCCTTCTCCCTCCATCTTTCTTTCCTTCTTCTTCCCTCCCTCTCTCTCCCCCTTTCCTGACTGTCTTCCTTCTACAGTTCACTCTCTACTAAAGCTACTACTACAGCAGATAAACACCCTTCCATCCTGCCTCTGCAGGTGGTGAACTGAAAATTGTCAAAACTAACAAGCAACACTGCCAAACATCCCCGGTATCTCAGTGAGAAAATAAACTAAAACTTCTGTCAGTCTATATACGTACCACCATCTTCACAAACAACACATTCCAGCATAACCCTATTTTACCACGTGTCCTGCGTTCTACACCAAAGGTGTATATTTGTGCCAGTCACACTCAGACGTGAACAAATGGTCACTTGAACACATGATCAGGCTTGTACCAAGTGAGAGTGTACTGTGCCACAGTTACTGAGGTTTGCCCTTTTGTTGAAGATTTGAACAACTACACCTGCTGAGTTGCCCTACATACCAGGACAGCTCTTTTCGCTGGTTGTCCCATGTGCAGTTGATTTGTTTGCCTTCACTTCACTCAGTCGGATGCACACAATAAACGTGCCACTAGCAAACTAAATCTGACTGCTCAAATCACTGATAATAAGTGTACGTACGAAGCCATCAAAATTATGTCATGAAGAAACGTAACACCATTAACTAGTGGGCTACATGTATACTATATAGCTTGCCGGATTGTCTTACTATTGTTGTGGCTGGCCTGACACATCATCCACAAAAGTAATGCAATTAATTATGAATATGATCATTGCTTCATGTGACACCTTCTTAGTACAATTGTGCTACATATATGCATACTTACTATTATAAAATTGGACATCAAGCCTATAAAACATATGATCGGCATGTGAAGTGAGCCTGCACCTATTAGCCTTAATCTCGCAAGCCCAGCTAGTCCCAGTCAACTGACAGCACATGTCCATATTGAATGCTTTACCTACTTCAGAATACACATCAAACTGCTTCAATTTCGCACTCACTCTAGCTTGTCAACAATTCTTCAACGCTGTGCATGATAAACTAATCCTACAGCAAATCTGAACTAAGCCCTCCGCACACCTACACAGCCGTAATTATTATGATCAAAACACAGGATAATGGTCCAATTAAGACAATATCTACAACAACAGTGTGTATAAATAATATACGGTACAGTGGGTCTGAGCCTGCCATTGTGCATAAGGAAGTGACGTATTTTAAATACACACCCACAATATATGCATTCCTTCATCTTTGAAACGCACGTCGTATAATGAACCTTGCAGCTGCAGAAGATTTGCTATTGGTTAGAACGCTTGCTATTGGGAAGACTTAAAGCACACGAGTAACGGCATATAAACGGTGCGAATATCCAGTCTTTAGAATAGACAAGAACATAATGAGCACTTGACTACTTCGAGAATGAATTTGAAAAAAATTTAAATGCACTTGCGGAACTTCGAGAATGAATAAAAAAGGATTTGCACTTCGAAAAAAAAAGAAAAGAAAAAAAAGCCACTCCACCAGGCATGTGGCCAACATGCCCAGTGAAGCGGGGGCACTCAGTATTGTCAAACAGAGAGTGGGTAAGGGGAGGAACCAGAGCTGTTCCCAGCCAGTGCTCTGGACCACCTACCAGCTTCCAGCCCGGGATCGATCTCTCGACCACCGGAACCTTTATACTGGTAGTCCCCACTTCTACTGATTGCGCCACATGAGTGACCCGAGAGGAGTAGTTGAAATTTTGCCTTTATACCCACCAGTCAGTGAGGCTGAAAAAATAAAAAGTAGTAGTTGACAGGCTTGAACCAAGGTAGCAGGAAAACCTTGTTCCACTTGCAAGAGCTTTAGCCACTAGACCATCAACTCTTGGTGTGCGTGATATGTAGCATCCCTACCAGGCTCGAATGCACTGGCAACCAACATAAAGCCAGCCACGATTTATGCAACATACATACTGAACCTTGGAACTAATATTTGCTATTGGTTAGAAAGCTTGTATTAGGAAGAAATCAGGCACATGAGCAACAACGTAGTCTTATGGGGAACTGGGGGGATCAAATCACCAAAGACACACACTCCTAATTCAGTAGCTACCATAGATGCATGAATCCTGATTATGGGGTGTCAGTGCTAGGGCAAGTGCATATCAAACAATGCGTGCACGATCAATGCTAGCTTATGGAGAGGAATGCAGTGTGTATTCGTTCAATTTCGTCTGAACTAACTGTATTAGGTTTCTAGCATACACACACAGTCACACAGATTCCATGGGTGTTTGATGAGCGAAGGCAAGCAAGTCATATCACACAGAGCACTGCATGTGCACGAACTTCACACGAATCAGTACAAAAGTCATGCACTGCTGACTGGCTTTCACTAGCTTGGCTTTGATATAGTCTGAAGCTGTGCACAGCACATATAAAATGGGTAATGGTTAAAACTACATGTAGCACCGATTTGGTAATGTTGTCCTAAAACTGACCATACATTCCTTGGCAGTTATCGTGCACGCAGCATTATTGCACGAAGCAGTGAGTGGTTTCATGTACATTCCAAACCCAACCAAATTCCCCTATAATTTCGGATTCCTCAAGGACATCAGAAATCTGACGAGGAGGATGAATTGTATGTAGTAAATAAACTGACTATGTCGTCGTCTGAATGTGTCTGGAACCTCCGACAATACAATTATAATTTTCCCAGTTATACATTAGTTTGGGCTATACAATGTCCCAGATATGTAGCATTTGATGTGTAGCAAACCACAACTCCCCTAAATTCTAAATTTCATACACAGCAATGGTGCATGTAATTTAGACCACAAGGACAGGTGGCATTGCTTGTCAATTGAAGAACTTGGCACTCCATGAACTAATGTTCTCTGATAACTAGCATCATGCTACAGTATATGTAGCTGTATAGGAGGGTGGAATATACATATGCAAGCAACTCTACATATCTTAATACATGACAATACACCTATTCCAGCTCCGGAACTGGGGCCGTTCCCATTTACGATTTGTTCAGCGCAGGTGCATTATTGCGTGGAGTAATGCACAGTAAGTTGGACAAACTTTTACCAAATATAATCGTAAATGGAACAAACTTTTTACCTGATCTCCTTTGAGTCTGTCCAGTAGAGCGACACACACCGCAGCACACTTGTAGCCAGTCTGCAGTTACGTACATACATACAGTATGTAGTACATGAAGATTGGCACATAAAGAACTGACACTTCTCAGACAAGTATCTTTCCCAAAGAACAGGCTTCTTGAATGCAATCCCTCCGGATTAGAGAGAAGTTCCACTGTACACATAATATTCTTCCCTTTCCCTTTTGCTCTTTCCCCAAACAAGCTGTCTTCCCAGGCTCCCCTTTACACTACCTGCTTAGTTTCCCTCTTAAACTATCCCCCTCCATTTCTCCTGTCCTTTCCTTCCTTCCTTCTTCCCTTAACTCCCTCTCTTTCCTGCCCTCTCCCTCCCTCCTCCCCTCCTTCCCCTCCTCCCCCCACTCTCACTCCCTCACCAGTCTACAGAGAGAAGACATGGCGGTACACTCCATCTCTATGTTGACAACTCCACAGCTGTGAGCTCGTCTCAGGAAATCCATCTTCTGTTCGTCAGAGTGCTCACACACTGCTCCGTCCACTCTACCCTGACCTGTATATACACAGTTTATAAGTAAATTAAAAATCCTTCGAATTTAAAAAAAGAAGCATATAGGGATGGTATAAAAAGAAAGGGAGACAAGATAGGGATGGGATACATGAAGCATGGTTAATGAACAGATTTGAGTACGCTGACACCCCCAACCCCATCACACAATCCCTATATTGTTGCATAGGTGTGCTACACTTATAGGGGCTAAAGGGTACTAAAAGCAAGCAAGCTGTGAGCTCGTCTCAGGAAATCCATCTTCTGTTCGTCCGAATGCTCACACACTGCTCCGTCCACTCTACCCTGACCTGTATACAGTTTAAAGTACACTTGATGTGAAAGGCAACGTACACTATAGAACATGTATTATGTGAAAGGTGAAAGGGAACTCATAGAACATTAATCAATCGTAGTTTGTTTCATGTGAAAAAGAGACACAACCAGGCTTTTCACTAAATAAGCTATTGGTGATGAGTGTGAATTTTCAGTAAGAAATAATATATAGAAGCATTTTATTGCGTGCAATATGTTGCGTATACACATCATACACTACATTTATGTATTTATAGCATACTAGCCACAGAGAATAGAAAACCAGAAGTCACCCTCCACCCCCATCCTCCACCCAAGTACATACACAGACACAAACAACACAGTTGCACACAACAGTAGGACACCAGCCTTGAGAACTGTGGCGGTGGGTTAAAGAGCCTTTTATGGCTAGCCAACTCTCCCCACACACCTAGTGTCCAAAAAAACATCACAATGACAGTTACTATACAGAGGCATGTAACTCTGTTTCACGTATGTATTCGACACTTTATTTCGCATTACTGCCCCATATTAGAACCCGACGACAAGGGGTAGACTTGCCCTGCTAACTGATGCCTATCGGCAAACGGGTGCCAGATGGAGTATGCAGACTCATTGTTGTGAAAAACTTGCTGTGTTGCTTTTTTACTACCTTATTGCAGTCTATGGGTGTAAGATTACATTTGCAGTTGCATGTCTCACGTATTACGGGCCCCATATTAGAATCCAACAACAAATTAGACTTGCTTTGCTTACTAATATTGCAGTCTATGGGTGTAAGATTAAGGGGCTGACCCTCAAAGAAGTCGTCTGTACACATGGTTCCTCCGAGAACAGTCTGAAACCTGGCGTCACTCTGAGACGACTGGATGGCTCTGGCCAGCTCCTGGTCAATCACGGCAGGCCTCACCTTCCTCTCTCCCAACACAACCTTCATACATACGTCACAGACACGCATATGTGTATCACTACAGTACGGTAGAACTTAGTATATTATAGTATATGTAGTACAGTGAACGTATGCAGCATAAGGATTTGCTCACAAGCGGAATTTGTAGTAAGATATGTACATACAGTGTTCTATGTGGCTACGCTCAAGGGTGTCTTAGGGGATTTCGTACTAAGTGTGTTTTACCATAGAGTGGAACCCCTCTCTAAGAACACCCCTGAAATGAGGACACCTCTCTAAGAACACCCCTGAAATGAGGACACCTCTCCAATAAGAACACCCCTGAAATGAGGACACCTCTCCAATAAGAACACCCCTGAAATGAGGACACCTCTCCAATAAGAACACCCCTGAAATGAGGACACCTCTCTAATAAGAACACCCCTGAAATGAGGACACCTCTCTCATATGGACAGTTCTTGGATGCCCAAATATAAGACCTCACTAATATGGACACTTTCCTTCAGTCCAACTGGTGTCACATTAAAGTGCCACTGCAATGGGATTGGCAGCACACTTCAAACCAACTCACAAGTTCATGTTCTTCTTTCAAGAATCCGTTGAACGTCTTGTCGGTAATCACCACTGTACCCGGTGGAACTCCTGATTGTATGTATGGGGAGGGAGGGGGAGAGAAGCGGAATTTGTAGTAAATAAGTGGGGGAAATTATGCATGTCGACTGTTCCCCATGACTGCCCCTATTGAAGGGGTGAAATTGTATGGTAAAAACTGTACAGAACTCCTGATTGTATGGGGAGGGAGGGGGAGAGAGGGTATATATGTTGCAGTGCCCAGACAGGAGCAGCATGAGCACTGTAAGGCTAATGCTGCTCCTGTCTGGGTATTGCAACAGATTTGTTGGATATCTCTAGGCGAATGACATGTATGAACCCTGGTTGCACATGTAGGATTGTATAGGCTGATACAACTCCCCCAGTACCTGTAGCTTCATACATGTCGGTTGCCTAGGGATATCCAACAAATACAATGCTAAAATATGAATTTACACATGGACAATATTCACAAGCAGCTACACTCCTACAGCCATTTCGCACTTTATTAACCGATAGAAAACCTGCTAACACAACACAAACACAAAGTATTCATATGTACAATATTATTGGGGGAGGAGACGTAAGCTTTTAACCTTACTCATGAATGCAATGGAATTTCAAGTACGTTGTATGAGTGTTAAGAAAAGAGTGTGGACTTAAAATTTGAAATTTAATCTTCGCCAAAAAACATAAGGTGAGTCAGCAATGCATTGGGAACCATATGAATTTGTCTTTACTATCGGAATTCCAAGAATGACAAGAACAAGATTAATGTTTACACTTCAACGATCTTAATACAAAAAGGACTCTTCCAATAAAGGACACCTCTCTTTAAAGGACACTCGGTTCTGCCCCATACTAATACATTATTACTTCCGAATAAGGGACACCTCTCTATAAAGGACACTCGGTTCTGCCCCATACTAATACAACAAGTAAGCTAAAATCCTGCGAATAAAAAAAAAGAGGCATATAGGGATCGTCTAAAAAGAAAGGGAGACAAGATAGGGATTGTGTTTGTGGAAGCACAGAGATGCTAGCGAGGAGTTTAGGACTCCCACAGGTCATTACAACAGCCCTATATCGTCGTATCGGTCTTGACCGCAGAGGAAAACCTCCTCGCATAAGTATCAGCAACCCTGCCTACTTGAATTTGGTTTTGTGGTATTATACGTATGCTTTCCATGTAATGATGTCATGCATGTATATACATTGTTTTGGTCAGCTGATTACACACAGTACACGTAACTGCTCGCACCTTGATGTACATATACACGTAGTGGGATTGTAGCAAGACAGATCAATGAAATGTAAACAATGAGCATTATTGAGTAGTACATTACTTAGCAATTTATAACCTTCACTCCCACCGTACGACGATATAGGGCTGTTGTAATGACCTGTGGGAGTCCTAACTCCTCGCTAGCATCTCTGTGTTTCCACAAACACAATCCCTATCTTGTCTCCCTTTCTTTTTATACGATCCCTATATGCACTTTTTTTTTAATCCGCAGGATTTTTTATTTACTTGTCTCCACTCATTATTATATACTACTACGTATTATCTTTATGGAAGGGGGCAAGCCCCTATAAAAATTAATAATAGAGAAAAAATGCCTGTTGTCGTCATGGAAATGAAATGCATACCATCCATGTGTGCTGCCGTTAGCAAGTTTGACGAGTGAAGAAGTAATTATAAAGAAAAGTGCCTGAGGCTATTTGTTGTTGTGGTCGTCATGGAAACGATGTAATACACATGCGCACCAAGTTTCACCTCCATGCGTGCTATAGTTAGCAAGTTTGAGTGAAGAAGTAATTTTAAAGAAAAGTGCCTGAGGCTATTTGTTGTTGTGGTCGTCATGGAAACGATGTAATACACATGCGCACTAAGTTTCATCTCTATGCGTGCTACCATTGGAAACTTTGAAAAGTGAAGAAGTTAATTTAAAGAAAAGTGCCTGAGGCTATTTGTTGTTATTTACAAACATGTATTGTTGTGATTTTGATGTTGGCTATTGATTTACATTGTGTATACAAACTTTCGCTCACATAACTCTTACCAATTGTGAGTTACACTGACACATGTAGTATGCCCATTATAACGTATTGCCCATTATAATGTATTGCCTGGGGCAATTTTGTTGTTGTTTACAAACAAAAAAGTATGACGTTGCACATGTGGTTATCGATATGTACATTCCTACAAAATTTCATGGCTTTACCTCTTTCGGTTTTTGGGTTATGCTGTTTGGAGAAGAAGAAGAAGAAGATGAACAAAACTCCCTATCATAGCCCCATACATCTATGATGCTAGGTACCATGTCAATCCCTATATAATAAGTACTACCGTACTTAGTGATTACTTCCGAATAAGGAACACCTTTCTATAAAGGACACTCGGTTCTGCCCCATACTAATACAATATTACTTCCGAATAAGGAACACCTCTGAATAAAGGACACTCGGTTCTGCCCCATACTAATACAATATTACTTCCGAATAAGGGACACCTCTGAATAAAGACTCTTTCAATGTTCCCAAGGAGTCTCTTTTTCAGGGGTTTCACTGTATGTTTGAGGAAATGACTCACCAATGCCGCCAGATGTGCCAATCCTGATCAAGACAGCGTCCTTTGCTCCGGCATAGCTGAGTAGCTTCGTTATCTCGTGTAGAAGAATGGTGATAGATGGCACACCCATACCGTGCTATTGGGTGGGAGGGAGGGAGGGTAAAGTAAATGATGAGAATCAAAAGCTTTACTGTTGTTCATTTTTTAGGCTTACACAAACAAAAAGCACGAAAATAATTGCACGGCCAAAAAGCAGGAAAAAAACAGTATCCCTCAAAGAGTCACAGGCATAGTGCAAGCACTGAGCTAGAACTCCCAGACAAGAGCTGATGTTTCACATTCCCCAGCAGTATGGATAAAATGACTTACACTGACGGAGAGTACAGGTCCAATCTTGTAGAAAGCATAGCGGTCGGTTCGATGAATGTCCAGTTGCTCAGCTGTCTGGACCGGGTGGTTTATCTCCCTGGCGATGACCTCTGCAAACGACCTCATTCTTCCAGAGCTTCCTCCCATCACTACAAACTGAACGTGACGGGCAAAGAGAGCGTGGGAGTCTAAATTTAGAACCACTTTTGGCTTGGACTGGGCTCTATTCCTATCCTTAGTAACATTTCCAAATTTAGTCCTCGTGAACTGCCACATTCTCTTCTAAATTCATACGAATGGAGTGGTTCCTAAAGTAGCTATACATTTAGCTGCAGCAACCGTACTATTTAACTGGAAATTTGTACGTACAAGAACACTTTATAAAATACTTGTGAAAACTCTCTCAATAGTCGTTGTATGTAGTATATACTCAGCGAGTAACCCACATGAGAGTTTGTAACATGCAGAGTTTCAAGAAAGTGACTTATAGTACAAACAGCTCATCATTTTGACAAGGTGTGGCATAGGTAGAATGTATCCATATACATACATACAGTAGCTGAATGCTTGTAATAACATAAAAATGGGCGAAAAAAATTTACTTAGACAACTAGCTAATTTGCACAGGCCTCATATCATTTGTTTCTCCTACACACACACTCTCTCTACTCTTCTTCCCATTCATACAGACACCTTTGCACTGTATGTAGTTGTATCATGCACAGCAAAGAATACACTGCAACTAAACACATGCATATTTGCACAGGCCTCATATCATTTGTTTCTCCTACACACACACTCTCTCTACTCTTCTTCCCATTCATACAGACACCTTTGCACTGTATAGTTGTAGTATCATGCACAGCAAAGAATACACTGCAACTAAACACATCCATATTTGCACAGGCCTCATATCATTTGTTTCTCCTACACACTACCCTTGTTACCACTTATACAGAAGGACTTTGTATACACCATGAACAGCAGAGAACACACTGCTTCAATAGATGTTCACTAATACGTTCACACACCAATAGAAACAGCACGATTCCCTGCTCCTACCTTCACGTCTTGAAAACTGTGGCTGACTCCGTCTTTGGTGAAGCCATTTCTGGCCTCCAGGCTGCTGTAGCCCAAATGGTAGAGGAAATCGCCGTCCAGAGAGTTAAGATACGGGTTAGGGAGACCTAGCTCCGAGTGTGCCTTCTTCTCGTCGTCCATACCGCGTCGGTAGCTTCAGGGGAGTTAGGAGGAGGTGATGAGTGGATTAGAGAAGCTGCAGAGGCCTGCTCACGACCTGCTTTGTAGTGTTGCTCTGCCGTTGTTTTGTCTACCAGTTGACCCCGCCCCTTAGAGCATGCGCACCTTTTAATTACGTAACGATGTCAATTTATTGCGCATGCGCTACTCTCGCCACAAAACGATCGAACAACCCGTGGATCGGGGGTGGTACAGAGTACAGAGTCGTCGTTGAGCTAGTGTTTGGCAATGTCTGGAATGACTGGCGGTGTTGGAGAGGTCCAGTGTGCGACCGATGAAGTCAAAGAAATCGCCGAGAAGGTAGCTAGCCAACGCTTCTACCAGTGCTAAGCGCATGCGTAATGTAAAAAGTCCTAATTATGTACGTAGGTTCGTGGGGAGGCTGAGACGAAGACTGGTCGGCAGTTCTCAGAGTACGTAGCAGTACAGTTCTGTTCCCAGGTCGTGGCAGGGACGAATTTCTTCATCAAGGTAACTTGCAAAACTATAGCCTACTTAGTGTCAATAATTGGAAGTACTCTGTCATAGTGATGGACATTGTACGGGGTGTTTTTGGTTTACCTTTACTTTGTGTTGTGCTGTTAGACTTACCAACAAGCTGCCCTAGCTGGTAACTCAGTTGGTGGAGTACTCTGTTTCGACTGAAGAGTGTTGTTGGTTTGAGTCCCACCAAGGGCAGGTCCTGACTTTCTAGGGTATGCTTTACTCTGCCTATAGTTGGCCTGGCTAGTTGATGAACGTATGGTTATCATTTACTCTGCCTATAGTTGACCTAGCTCATCGATGAACTATATCATTAATGGCCTCAGGTGCAGGTGTCAGAAGGAGGGGAGTGTATTCATCTGAGGGTGTACCGAGACCTCCAGCAGACTCTGTCTCTCTCCGGTGTTCTCACTGACAAGACCCTCCAAGACCCCTTAAAATACTTCTAGCTCAATTACACGCTACTTCGAAGCTGCATAATGTATAGCTATTACACAACACTTGTCATCTGAAAGAGCTCGGGATCATTATGTGTTGAGCACTGTAGAGATATTTTACTGGAATTTTATGCAGAACTGAAGATAAATTATATTGAGGCCCGTAAGTTCAGAAGGCGACCGATCTGAACATACGCACGCGCAATTAATGCTTGTGAGCATGCGCAGTTGGTTCAAAAGGGCTCTAATTGGAGTTTTTCACAGACGTCTTCGGGTCGTGCTAAAGTCGTTGTCCCGGCCCCGCGGACTCTTGAGCAGCGTCTCAGAGGATCCCTCGCTGCCTGATGGTGCACTACGAACTTGCCGTCATCTTCCGTACGCTGGGGAAGTCGGATCTGCCGGCGGCACTGCGTAGCGCATGCGGTACTCTGCTGGCGCAGGGGAGCATCGTGCGAGAGATGGAGAGCAGAGGAGAGAGGAGACTGCCGTACAAGATGGGAGCACACAAGGAGAGATTCACCCATGGAAGGTAATATTTCCTCGGAGCCTAGTCTGGTGTAAAGACTGCAGTGTGTGTGTTTACGCATGCGCATTAGCCAACGCCCACGCGTAATTGTATGTTGTTAGGGGCCTACATAATTATTATGACGAAGGGCATAATTATTATACATAAGTAGTGCCGCAGGGGTTCTGAGGTGGAGTGGGGGATGGGTTGACACTCATCTAACTTGTATCCTAGACTCTATTCTTGTTATTGCTTTTTACGGTTTTTGTTATTTCAGAGCCCTTTTTCCCCTGCAGATATGTGATATTTGACTTTGATGCCCCGCCCCAGTCAGTTGGACTCATCCTCTCACAGATTCACCAAAACAGAGACGTCATTAGAGCCTCTCTAGTCAAATCAGAATCACCATGACACTTTGTTTCAGTCTCTTCTTGTGTTGAAATAGTCACATGATATTGAAGGGGTCAGAGCCAGAGTGGGCCAACCCTCAATGTACAACTCTTGCCGGTTTTCCTTCAACTAAATGCCCTTAAAGAACAAAAACCGGCAAAAGTAGTATATTGAGGGTTGGCTCACTCTGGCTCTGACCCCTTCATGTATGGGTGTTGCCACATGCCATAATGTTATACTTGATTCTAAATACGCTTGAAACGCCGAAAAAATTAAACTGCTCGCTTCACTTAATGCCAACAGTGTCACCTGGGCCGTCGAGAAATTGTCATAACTCCTTTATTTCACATCTAATTGTAAAAAAACGCTAACACCATTGGAGACCTCCTGTTCAATGATGCTTCACTGCATATTAAACTTCATCAGTCAATAGTTAGCTGCATATGTCCCATAAGTAAAGTATGCCTTAAATAAAGTTTGTGGTACTTGTATACACAACTGCTTCGGGGCTCAGGTGAATGCAAATATACTTTAACCCCTCCCTGACAGAATCTGTTTAGCAGTACCTGCTGTGAACCGCAAGAGAATTGCTTGGCCAAAAATACATAATCATTTTACATGAGTTACAAATACTGGCTTGAGTTAAATTTTGTGTTACAAGAGATTGCGAAAAAAACTATACAACAACACATTCTCCAACTACATATCCATCCACTATGATGATCTTGTCAGGTGATGGACTGGCTACTAAACAGCAGCTCCCACCACTAGTCATAGAGCCAATCTCCACCCACTGTCCATCCACTAGCTGGTGAATGGAGTTGACTGATGATCCACGTCGCCAGCCACCAAAGAGTACTAGCTGTCCACAGAGAGTGGCAGCTGTTGAGCTTGTGACTGGTAGAGGAGGGAGAGGTTTCCAGGATAGGGTGAGAGGTGATGTGATTGGTTGATCACTGGATGGTAGGGCTGCAAGAGAACACGAGTATCCATTAGCATAATTTCCTATCACATTCAACTGATCACCACATATTGTGGCTGAAGGGAAGGGGAGAGGTTGTGGTAAGTCTGTTAGTTTGTGCCATCTTCTGCTCTTCACTTGAAATAGTTCAACTGCAGCAGTGCAACCAACACCAACAGACCCCCCAATCACAATGAGGGATTCACCATCAGATGTAGTAACTACAGCAGGAGAGGAACGTGCAGTGTTCATTGGAGGGTATTTCTTAACCCATTTCCTCTGTCGTAGTGTGTATAGTCTGGTAGTATAACGAAATCGATCATCCTCTCCCCCCACAGCAGTTAGTTCCCTGTCAATTATGACTAGTCCAGAGTTCTGATATGGACATGAAGGAAGTTCCTCCCATTTCTCTGTACTACATTCATATTGGTAGACTGAGGTGGAGCCACGTGAGGTGAAGTATGCAAATCGACCATCAGTTGTTGTAGATCCTCTCATCATTTTACATGGTGTTGTATTCTTACGATGACACTGCACAGTGAGCTGATGGGAGATTACATGACATGTAATGACATCATGTAGTATATATCACAATGACTAGTCTATAAACCATGACGTCACTTCCTATTCTATTCCATGCAATCACTATATAAGCTAGCTAGATGTAACTCATTATAGCATATTTCTTTGGTCCTAAGCCAAGATATTTTTGAACCTAAGATACGACATTATTGGCGACGAGTAGGGGATGGCGGCCACAGGTACGCTCGGACGGATAGAGGAGTTTGATGGTACCAGCGACTGGGACCAATGCGTCGAACGGCAGAGAAATTTTTCTCACGAACGACATCGACGACGCGACGATGCGAAGAAACGAGCCGTTTTCCTATCCGTCATAGAACCGTCTACGTACAAGACATTAGGGAATCTCGTCACTCCGGCAAAGCCAGCCGATAAGATGCTCGCCGAGTTGTTTCAAGCACTGTCGACACATTTCAAGCCGAAACCGTCAGAGATAATGGAGCGGTTCAAGTTCCACAGCAGATCTCGTAAGCGAATCTGTAGCGACGTTTGTGGCGGAACTTCGATCTCTCACAGAGTTTTGCAATTTCCGAACCACCCTCGAGGCGATGATTCGAGACAGATTGGTTTGCGGAATCAACGATTCTTCTCTTCAGAAATACTCGCAGAGTCCGATTTTATGACGGTTAACGGTAGGTTAACCGAGGTTAACGAGCCGGCGGTGCCCCAGCGCGAGAGCCAGCGGGAGCATGCGCCGGTAGGTGGCGAGCATGCGTTTGGATGGACCGACCACGTGGTCGTCATTATTGCCAGATACAGCCGTCGATGCGAGATCATGCTCTCTTGCTGCTGATTTTTGTTGTTGTTTCCGTCTCTCCACCCCTTTCCGGGGGTGTGATCAGGACTGGTGGCAGGGCAGGGGTGGAGCCTTAATGAGGCGGCTCCACCTCCAAGAGGGAAATACCCCTAACACGCCCACCTGCCCAACGACCTTTGGCCAACATCCCCAATGGGCTCCGCCCGTGCTAAGGGATGAACGTGTAGGTGACCTGGGGTGGGACTGGGGGGCTATCCTACAAGGTTAGGTGAGTTAATCCTACGCAAAAGCTGTCGAGCTCGCGCTCAACTCCGAGACTGCGACGCAGAGCGTGAAGGAGTTACGAGGAAAGCAGGAAAGCGGTGGATCGACACCACAGCCCGTACACAAGACAAGTAGCGTAACTCCGGCGTCAGGACACAACGCGGACTTCGTTCCGACGTGCTACCGTTGCGGTAACAAAGGTCATACCGCTCCCAAGTGTAGGGTTCGAAGCAACGTCACAAGTGCCATAAGCGAGGACACTTGCAACGCGCCTGCAAGGGCAATGGCAAGCCGAGACACACCAAACGAAGGTCTAGGGGAGTGGGTCATGTTCAGGACGAGGAGGAGGAAGAGTCTGAGTCAGAGTCAGAACCAGAGGAGCAGAGAAAGAAGGGGAATCTACTGTGCCACCTAAGTTCTCCGGGAGTGCCGAACTCTCCTCCCATCATTGTGAAGGTGAGGGTTGGTGACTGTTTCCACTTTTGATAGTGGGTGGCTCAGGTCCTACCTTGCTTGGGAGAGATTGGCTGAGTCAGATCCAGTTGAACTGGAGAGAAATTCACCATGTACACTCAGCTTCCCTGCAGTCTGTCCTTGCTCGGTACCCATCAGTTTTCAAAGAGGGTCTGGGCACACTCAAGCCAAGATCCATGTTACTCCCTAGGCTAAACCAGAGTTTCATCCAGCTAGGTCTGTACCCTATGCCCTGAGGGATAAAGTTGATCAAGAGCTTCAGCGTCTACAGAAGGATGGCACGATTGAGCCAGTAGACATAGCTGAATGGGCAGCACCTATAGTTGTTGTCTTGAAGCAGGATAAACAGAGTGTCAGGATTTGCGCTGACTTTAGCGTGACAATCAATCCAGTGTCCAAGCTTGACCGATATCCGATTCCCAGGGTTGAGGACCTCTTTGCCAGACTTCGCGGGGGAAAGTATTTCTCTAAACTTGACCTCAGCCACGCTTACCAGAAACTTCCCTTGGGCGAGGATTCCAAACGCTATGTGGTGATTAACACTCACCATGGTTTGTTTCGTTTCACAAGTCTTCCTTTTGGAATTTCGTCAGCGCCTGGAATATTCCAGCGAGATCGAGAGCTTGCTCCAAGGTATTGAAGGAGTCATCGTCTACTTAGATGACATCTTAGTCACAGGAAGTACAGAGGAGAGTCATCTCAGAACATTAGACGAAGTGTTGAGTCGTTTACACAAGGCCGGTCTGCGGGTGAAGCATAATAAATGTGCTTTCATGAGGCCATCGGTAACGTATCTAGGCCATCGTATCGACGCTCAAGGTTTACACCCATTGCAAGATCGAATCCGAGCCATCCAGGAAGCGCCAACGCCAACATCTGTTCCCAAATTGAAGTCGTACTTGGGAATGCTGTCGTATTATAGCAAGTTTCTGCCGAAACTCTCAACGGTCTTGCACCCACTGCACCTCTTGCTTCGGAAAGATGTTCCATGGAAGTGGGGCTAGACCAGGTGAAGGCATTCGCAGCATCTAAAGAGTTGTTGACCTCTGAGAGCTGTCCCAAGTACTTCAGAACATCCAGCGAGGTTGGCCAAGCGACGGTGATCCATCATTAGAACCCGTTCTTGTCCCGTCGTCTCGAACTCTCATCGTATGATGGTCGCATCCTCTGGGGAACCAGAATAGTTGTCCCTCCACAGGGTCGTGAAGCAGTGTTACAGGAGTTACACGAGGGTCACCCAGGAATTACCAAGATGAAATCACTTTCTCGAATGTACGTGTGGTGGCCAGGCATCATGCGTTATCGAAGAACTTCGTACGCTGTTCGCAAAGTTTGGTCTGCCAGAGACCATAGTGTCAGACAATGGCACGGGTTTTACCAGTGAACAGTTCAGGTCTTTTCTCAAAGACAACGGTGTTAAGCACATAACATCGGCTCCCTACCATCCCGCATCCAATGGTCTTGTGGAAGTGCAGTCCAGATCGTCAAGAAAGGACTGAAGAAAGTCATCAGTGGATCAATGAACACCCAGTTATCCAAAGTCTTGTTTAACTATCGTGTTACGCCTCAATTGACAACTTGAATTTCACCTGCCGAACTTCTACATCGACAACCTCGTACTCGTCTCGATCTTCTACGTCCGAATACTCCGCTTAGGGTGGAGGAAAAGCAGCAAGTTCAGAAACGTAAACACGATTTGAAAGCTCGAGCTCGTTTATTTCAGAATGGTGATCTGGTGTATGTGAAGAACTTTAGTCCAGGTCCACAATGGGTCCCTGGAAAGGTAATTGAAGTCTCAGGTCCAGTCTCTTACGTCATACAGTTGAATGATGGGAGACAGAGACGCTGTCACTTGCGTGCTCGAATGGGAGATGCCGACACTGAGGAAATGTCGCAGATCATCCCAGAGGACAGCATTCCGTTCACTCCAAGAACAACTTCCATGGCTACTGAGACTGCCACACGTAACCCCTACTGTTCAGTCAGAAACTGAAACCTCTGAACCGATCGTTCCAAATCAATGCCTACGTTTCCATCT